AGTAATCACACAACTGTTTTGCGACCGCTTTCTCAAGAATTTTTGAGAGGAACGGAAGATTAGAAATAGGTCTATAGTTGGCTAAAACCTCTGGATCGAGGTTGTGCTTTTTAAGAAGAGGTTTTATCACTGCTACTTTAAATGATTGTGGAACATAGCCTGATAATAAAGACATATTCATAATATTTAATAAAGAAGTGTTCATTAATGGAAAAACGTTAACAGCTTAGTTGGAATTGGGTCTAAGATACACGTTGATGGTTTTAGAAGAAAGAATCATTGAATTCAATTGTTCAAGGTTTATGGCTGAAAAGCATTCTAGTTTACTATCTAGTGTAATATTAGAACTTACATTTCCGGGAGCTGTTGATAACACTATACTGGTTAAAGGCAAGAGGTCATTCATTTTGTTTCTAAGAGTAACAATTTTATCATTAAAAAAGCACATAAAATAATTACTACTGAGTGCTATGGGAATAGAAGGCTCAATAGAGCTGTGGCTCTCTGTCAGCCTGGCTACAGTGCTGAAAATAAATCTTGCATTATTCTTATTCTCATCTATTAATGAAGAGTAGTAAGCTGCTCTCGCTTTACGCAGTGCTTTCTTATATTCATTGAGAGTAATATGCCAAGTTAAACGAGATTGGAGCAACAGAGTCTAATTTTTTACTTTATATCAGTAAGACTGGGGTATGAGACATTTGAATGATTATATGTTATCAAATTGTATGTTGGAAATACTTGTGCTAATAAACTAAGTGTTATTTTGAACATTTGGGGACAGCATTGTAGAATATGTCTGTTAATAAATGTATCTTTTTTATATATTTGCGTACTTAGTGGTAGGTACAGTACAATTAAAAGCCCATTTTATGCTACTTTATACTTATACTACACCACATTTCAGAGGCAAATATTGTACTTTTCACTTCACTACATTTATTTAACAGTATTTCAGACTTACTTTTTTATAAATAAAAAGACTTGAGATGATTATATGATAAGATGTTGTATGTTCTGCTAATCTACTCTACTAGTATTTTACAAAATATCTCAAATTGGCTTCATATTGACAAGCTTTACTTTACATGTATTTGTTACTGTTAAACATAGGATTACATGATATTTATTCATGATATGGTCCTGTAAAAAGAGTCAATCTGCATAACGAGTACGATACACTTCTTCCACCACTGGGTATACATTTGGGGGAAACTATCTCTCATAGCATTCTTCATTCAAAATCTACCTGGAAAACATCTTCTCTTTCTGAAGGAGTTCTACTTTTTTTGTGAACCCTGGTGATTTTGTTAATACCAACTATGCACCATTGCTAACAAAAGCATGAATCCAATGTGTCATATTCTGTCTCTAGTATAAGTACAACACCAGTTTGTTCCAGATTTACATTTTTTGCTAGATTCTATGCCTTACTTCGCATGGGCTTAGTAACCTATGGTGCAAGTGCGTGCATGTTTGTGTGTGTGATGCCGTGCCTGTGTCTTTTTCAGGGTCAGCACTCTGATGCAGAGCAGATTAGGTTCCACGGCAGGCAAGCGAATAATCAAATTTCCCTAACCCGCTTACTGATATCATGGCACGGTAGATCCTCATTATTCAGAACCCCCTCTTGTTCTGGTTTTGCAATCAAAATACAAGCTTAATGGGACTGATGTGATTCATGTAGAACGAAAGCTTTGATCTTGTTTTGTTTTAAACATTTGTCACAAGAAGTTAAATGCTATGAATATGATACTGTAGCCTATCGATACTATTACAGACACATGTTCACAAAGATGGTGATGGTGACATCCTTGGTTGTGATGAGAATAATGCAAAAAACTATGTTGCATATTTCCTTTCATCAGCTGTGGGCCCCAGTATCTCACAGAGCATGATTAGCGTTAGCGTGGAATCCACACCACTGGGGGCGAGCTTGAAGCCTGAAGCGCATTCATCAACGTCCCTGGCAGGGTGCACCTTTCTCAGCCTCACACTGCTCAGCTTGCGGCCCACTCCCCGGCCACATTTTCATCCTTTTTCTTTCATTCTGACTCTAGTTCAGTGGCCTTTGTTGTTTTTTAAGAGATAGTGTTTTTTTTATGTTGTCAAAGCTATCACAGTTGTAGGGCGTTTTATGTCATATTGTTCAGCATTTAGCAAAATGATGTGTGTAACTTTTATGCTCATACATACAACCTATTAGATTGATGTGTTTTATTTCACTCTCCTTGTGACTTTTGACCTTTGTACCCCACAATAATGCTTGATGACACTACTGCCCTGAATCTGTCGTCACTCTTACTTCTCAGTCATTGCAGATATCTTTCTGAAAAAGCCCTCCGAGAAATGTGGAGAAAAGAGGAAACATTTGTAAAGAAATAATTCCTTGTAATAAGATGATATGATGATTTTATTAAAGCATTCTTAACACGTACATCTATAAATCCTTCAATATTCATCATCTTTTCTTGCACTTTATATGTCGTTGCTGCTATATTGTACTGCCATGTGGTAAATACTTGTGTATGCTGCTCTTGCTCTTTTGCACTTTTTGCATATCATGTATTTTGTTTTTACCATGTTTGTAAAATGTAATTTTCTTAAATGTTCAATGTGAGGGACTGCGGATGGAAACTAGCTCAAAGCTAAATCTGGCACTGTTACGCTTGACACATTTTAATGTTTTAAGTGTTCATTACTGTGCATTGTCCCTGCCAAATAAACGATTAAATAAATAAATCATGGTCACAAGTTAAATTAGACAGATTAGTGAAATAAAAAATCAATACAAAAGGCCCAAGTCTTAGAGAAAGACTTTAGATAATCAAGTGTTAATTAATCTTAGACATCATCATAAAATAGTTTCAACATTTTATTCAATCTATAGTCAATATTTTTAAGAATAATCATGGCCTACTGTATTTTGATTCCTATCCTGAGCCTGAATCCATTTAGGCCTTACTGACAGGCCTACATAAGATGTTGTGAAATAAAATAGGATAAGATTACATAGGACTTTATTTATAATAACTGTATGGCTCCCAACAGGGCACATTTACTTGTTAAAGCAGCTACAGATTCAAGAAAGCAATAAAAGAAATACAAATAAGTTATAAAAATAAGTAAATAAATGTACATACAGTAGCATTCAACTAATTAATAACTAGATACGATCTGTGATGGATCCTTGCTCACAATGACTGCAATTGATCCTTATACCCAAAACTATAAATTATACATGGCATGTCACATTTCATTATAAAATAAAAACTTACCTTATGTTTAATGCGTTAAAGTTTTAAAATCTTTAACTTTTAAAGCTGACCCACATTTTTTAAATAGTTTGTTTAGCATAAGACGTAGAAAGGTTTTATTAACACAGAGAGGAACTATTTATCCTTGAATTTTTTAGAAAGGATGTTATAAATAATAATAAATAAAGCTGTCAGAATTTGCCTCTGGGATGTACCGTAGCAGAGGTATAGAGCTGAATTGAATGGAAAAACTATAGTAAAGTTAAAAGGCTTGTATTTGTAAATCACTTGATTACATGTGGGCTACTTAGTTACATTTCACAACAGTTTTAATGTTCAAAAACTGAAGATCATCAGGCATTATAAGCCTATACAGAGAGTCGCAATGTTCACTATTGTTGTGGTTTACCCATAAGTGAACATCTCAATTGTTTGTCAGTTTGATGCTTATAAGTACTTCAGTAAGTGTAACATTGCTTCATTATGAGACTCAGTGAAGTACGTGTTTGTTTGAGTCTGTATATTTACTGTGTGGGCTATACTGGCATCTAGTGGTCACAATTAAGATAGCACTATAAAAACAGTGGGTTGAAGAGGTCAGACCAGATAGGGTGGTGATATGCACAGATTCATTGTCCATATTACAAAGCATACAATCAACAAGAACTGCCAGAGAAGACATTCTCATAGAACTGAATCATAGCCTGTTAAGACTGCACAGAGGCGGTATAGATCTGCAGTTCTGCTGGGTGCCTGCACATGAGGGGGTGAAAGGGAACGAGTGTGCTGATAAATTAGCAAAAAGTGCACTACAAAAGGAAATCACATTACCAGTTCAACTTGGTAAAGGAGAAGGAAAAGCAGTAATTAAGAAAAAAGGGATGGAGATCTGGCAGAAAAGGTGGGAGAAAGACCAGAAAGGCAAAGACTATCACAAAGTACAAAAGACAATTACAATTCATATTTATAAAGAAAGAAAAAGAAGGGAGGAAATCACGATCGCTAGACTCAGAATAAATCACACGGCTTTGAATGGTACGCTGTATATCATGGGGAAAAGTGACAGTGACAAGTGTGGGAACTGTGGAGTAAAAGAAGATGTAGAACATATCTTGTTACATTGTGACATCTATAAAGCGGAAAGAGAAAAACTAAAGGCTAAGTTTTAGAGGCAGAGAGGGAATGGAGTGTGGTTGGTGTTTTGGGAACAAAAGGAGAGGGAGTAAGAGCTACCAGAAATGCACTGTTTACATTCTTGAGTAAAACTGGGGTAGGAAAAATAATTTAACATTAGGTCAGGAAAGAACATAGGTTTTTTATTTTTGTTTTATTTATTTCATGTTTTTGTTGATTTATTTTTATTTATTTTTGATTAGATCATAGGTTAAAGAGTTGGAATGATATGATGATTCATACTCATGTACAGTAGGTGGCGGTATGCACCTTTTAAGTTTTTTGCAATCCGCCAAAAACGAGAGAAGAAGAAGAAGCACAAGGTTAAACAGATCAATGCGCTTAAAAAAAGTAGTCCATAGGCTCTTTTAAATTAATTATGTAAGTAACCCTTGAAAAAGGTCTTTATTTGATTTATTTCTAAATATTAAACATTAATATGTATTTATGCCGTATGTTAAATGAATAAGAGTTTGATGAATTATTAAAGATCTTTGCAAGCGTATTAATCTTTGCAGTAAAGAGGCCTATAAATTAATTGCGCCTCATTGTAGATGCACCTGTGGAACCATTTCTTTAATCGAGTAGTCCGGTGTAAGGAACTTTTCTTTAAAAGTGAGTATTACACTAAATACATTAAAACGTATACATTGTACGGTGATATTGACATTAAATGTTATGTCTGAATCAGATTTTTTGCCGAAGTTCAGATGTATTGCTTATATAAATTATATCATCGCCCACGAGGTCCTAGCCTTGGTGTTAACTTGAATTGACCATCAGTCGACAACCATGGGAACAACATAGCTTGTGGTGAATTTGGTGCATGGCTTAAATTGATAACTATAAATGTCAATATAAGGTTCATATGCGAAGGAATACCGAATGTATTTGGCGGTAGCCTTTGTAAGCATGCTATATTAGCTACGTTGTTAAGCTACCTGGTTTAGCATCGGCTAGTGCTGATCATTAATTAGCATGCGCCATCTTGACTGCAAAATGAAACGCGTGTTCCTTAAGACATTTTGCACTATCCATTTTATTTATGTCACAAGTTTTTGTCCGAACACAATAACAAAACGTATTCTTTTTTTGGCATGAGATATAAAGATGTGAGACTCTATTTTAATGTACAGATGCAGCATTGTCAGAAAATAAGGGTTTTATACAAATGTCCTTCCATTATTTGGCGGTAGCCTTTGTTGGCATGCTAATATTAGCTACGTTGCTTAGCTAGCTGGTTTAGCAAAGGGCAGTGCTTACATGAATGTATAATAATGGATGCAACATTATTTATGTCCTGTTGGCATGCTAATTCTAGCTAAATTGCTAAGCTAGCTGGTTTAGTACTGGGCAGCCCCCATCTTTAATTTTCATGAGCTAATAGATAATAGCAGGTGCCATGTGTCTGCCAAAATGAAAATATGTTACTTACTGTAAGGCATTTTGCATTTTTTTAAATATATATATTATTGGTGAAGTTTCTTTCTGAACATTAGATAGTTATGAAACAGTGTGTGTATATATTATTATTAGTTTTTTTAAATTATATTTGTATTCATGTTTTTAAGTATTCTTTTTTGAACAGCTGCTTACTTTGAGACTGTCCGAAAATGACTGGTAGAGCGCGAGCTAAATCAAGAGGCAGGGCACGTGGTCAAGAGACTACAGCACCTGGAGCGGTAAGTGCAGTGTACTGTATACTCTGGGTCATTTATGCATGATCAAAAACGTGTATATTTCATTGATTATTGTGAGACTACTTTATTACAACATATGCATGTTTAGTGAAGGCATTATTGGTGTAGATTGTGCTTGGATTACTATCAACTCAAGTTTTGATATCTGTAATGTATGTTAATTAGGGATGCTCCGATTTTGGGGCCGATACTGATCGAGTGGGTGGGGCCTATGGGGATCTTCCATTTTAAAGTGATGTTTAAAACTCAGTTAATGGGGCTCATTCACTGGCGCTTCCACAAACAACAACCAACATAATTATTACATTAAAATGAAGTACATTATTGAAGTTTACATTAACTTTGGATAATAACAGGGAGAAATTAGCGGAAGCGCTCTCTTTTCCTCTCTCTTCTGACAGCCTGTCAGTATCTCATGCAGCTCACTGATCCAGTAATGAATGACCCGACAGTGAAGACTAAATATATTTTTAACTAGTTTAGCTTGTTCCAGAGGTAGATCAAATGGCTAAGTGTGTTAAGTCTAACTCTTATGGCGCATTTCCACCATGGCGCGGTTTAAGCGTGCCGTTTAGTTCCGGCCCGGCCCGGGGCTACTTTTTCACCTTTTTTCTGGCCCGACAAAATCGTGGTTCTATCGGGGCCAACAAACAGGGCTGAGTCGGGCTGAGTTTGCTAAACTAGAGAGAATCGCTGGCAAGGGGACTACAACTACAACAAGATGAACATATTTGACCGTGATTTAATTGTAATACACGTTTCAAAATGATGCCAAAGTAACAACATACTGATACCGGTTAGTAAAAACCATGAATTAATGCTTTGACAAGTCTGCAGACAGACGGCAGGCGAAAAACCTTTTAAAATGTGCGTTGTCTAAATGGAGATCGGCTAAGCTAACGCAATATATGCTCCGACCGTCCACACTCACAACAACGGCCTATACAGACATAAATAAACCAGCGACTGGCTCTCCCGATCGATCGGAGCATCCCTAGAAATAAAGGCACACTGCTTTGATGCAAATATGTTAATGAAATATAAATGGACATTTAAAATATGGCATATTCATACTAGTTTGAACAGAGCTCCACATATTGCAATAACATTTGCTTTCTTTTTTGAAGTCCTTGGCTCAAGGAGACTCAGCTCCCCCACCTGATCAGGGACAGCTGGTCGGAAGAGGGAGACAAAGTGCTCCTGGTCACTTTTCGGCAGAAGGTATCGTCAAACGTTGTGATATCTGTATTTCTCCTATATGATCTTGCTTTTTTGAAAGTCTGTGGCAATGCATTTAAAAATGTGGTATGACAGAAAAGTGTTCTAAGGTAATGCAATTTAAAAATGTGGCCACACCTTCTCCAGACCAGCAAATATGGCCATGGTAAGAACTGCATTCAGGGAAATTAGATTGATCAAAAAAGGAAAAGTAATAACCGTTAGGATATGGTTTTACTGGCACAAGTTCAGTGTATTCCTATTTCTATGTCTTATAAAACTATGGAGTGCACCATTCTTGCGTATGTGTTTTTAACCTTTTCAAGTTTTGAGTATTGCATCACAATGCTTGCAATCAAGTTTTGAGTCTGGATTTGTTTTTGGTAGCTGTTCTACAGATTTCAGCCGGATTTCAACAGGTGAAGCTTGGAGAAAGGGGTGGACGCCGCAGAGATTATAATGATGGAGGGGTTAACACCAGGATGGCTATGGAGCATGTTAAGGAATCAAAGTCTGGTCAGTAATAATTAAAAAAAAAATATGCTACGGTATTAAATAAAAGTACATTTTATAATTTGTGGAGAGATATTACTCCTTAACTGTGTGTACACTTCCTCAGGAACATCTGGTGAAGCCATCCGGTTGTCGGCAAACTTCTTCCGCATCCTGTCCCGCCCTCAGTGGGTGCTGTATCAGTACCATGTGGACTTCAACCCACCAATGGAGGCCTGTCGCCTGAGATCTGCACTCTTATACCAGCACGAGGAAACGCTTGGCACAGCACGGAGCTTTGATGGAGCTCTGCTGTTCTTGCCTAAAAGATTGCAGAACAAGGTACTCTAAATTGGCAAATGAAAAACATTTACACAACTTTTATCTTTATTTACTTTCACTGTTGGATGGTAATCAATGTTTTTGTAATTATTTCGGTCCTCATGTCCCCGAAATGGCTTGCGCCACACAAGAACGAAATATAATCTGACCAATGAATAGAGATTGCCATCATCAGGGCCCAATGCTGTTATTTGGAAAGCTTATATCATTGCCATATCTTGATATTATGTTGACCTTTTCAAATCTATTGTCAGTGTTTAAACGATCATTCTTTCTGTTCTCAACCAATCTAATGTGTAATTATTTTTTTTTACACCTTTTTGCAATAATAGCTATCTTGTAATTTGATTGGTAATTATAAGATTTGTGTTTTTTTTCCCCTCAAGGCATTTGTTGGTTGTTGTACTACTATGTCTTACTTTGTGTTTAGGAGACTTTGCTCCACAGTGAGACGAGGATGGGAGAAAAGGTACAGATCACTGTCACTCTGACAAATGAACTGCCACCGACATCTCCGGTGTGCATTCAGTTTTACAACATCATATTCAGAAGGTAAGCACACTTGGAACATACATTTGTATTGCATCAGCCAAATTAAATGTACCATGCGCCAATACTTGAATGTACTTACTTAATCATTACCTCCAAAACTAAAGGCTTGGATAACAATACATTTCACTATTTTCTTATCATTGGAAACTACAAATGTCTGTTTTTTTTAATAGTGTTTTTTTTTTTTTTAATGTTTTATAATGTCTTCAGGATCCTGAGAATGCTTGACATGCAGCAGATTGGGCGCAACTACTACAACCCCAAGGATCCACTCAACATCCCACAGCACAGGTATATAACTCTCAAATAAGCTTTTGCCTCTTGGATAAGAACAAAATGGCAAGTGCATGTGTACGCAATATAATAGGAAAACTGATTAGTCTGCTTTTTAAAAAAGCAAACTCTATATAATACTTAAGCCCAGTAAGAAGCCATAGCAGGGTTTAGTTGATGTGCAATCTTCAGACATTGAGGCTTACTTTCTTTCAATAGCTTTAGGCAGAAACACATTAAGCCTGTATGTCTGTCCTAGGCTCACCATCTGGCCAGGCTACACCACAACCATCCTGCAGTACGAGTCTGCCATAATGCTGTGCACTGACGTGAGCCACAAGGTCCTGCGTAGTGAGACGGTGCTGGACTTCATGGTCAACCTGAGGCACAAGACTGGAGATGAGCGATTCATTGACATCTGCGGCAAGGAGCTGATTGGTCTCACAGTCCTCACCAAGTAGGATCCTAATTTGCCACTTATTTTCTTGGATTAATATGCATATTTATAATACTGTGTTTGGAAGGGATTATCCACTATGTATTTATCAGTATTCTCTTGATACCTTTTTTTTTAATAGGTACAACAACAAGACCTACAAGATCGATGATATCGCATGGGATCACACTCCTATGAACACATTCACAAAGGCAGACAAAGAAGTCTCCTTCAAGGACTACTACAAGTCTGTAAGTTTCATGCACTCGACACAAAGATTAGAGCAACTGTAACGGCCCGTCCACACAGCGGCGTGCGATGAATCTTCAACGCTTCTGCCCATTCACTTTGAATGGGGTGACGTCACGATTCGCCAAACTGCATTGTGGGAGCGGAGCTTTGCTGGCGTTGCTCGCTGCAAAAGTTGAGCAATGTTCAACTTTTGAAGCTTCGGCGGAAGCGTCAGCCAATCAAATCATATGCCAGTACAAGCTCTAGCCAATCAAACCGCTGCTTGTGTGTCAGGGGCGGGAGATTCATGTGATTGGTTGTTGGGCGAGTTTCAGACACGCCTGCCGGCAAGCTTCAACGCACGCCGCTGTGTGGACGTACCGTAACAGTCATTGATGTAGCTTTCTGCCTCAACACATGCACTTCCCACACACACAATTTAATAAATGTTGTATTAAAGACATGAACATTTACTGCTTTCTGTTATGTTATTTAAAGCCCCACTAGTAAGTTATGAACCTAAATGTCAACCTTATTCTAGTCTGCACTGATATTCAAACTTTGTTCTCCCAGCAATACAGCCTGGACATCTGTGATAACAGCCAGGTGCTGCTGATTAGCAATGTGAAGAGGATGGGGCCCGCTCAAGGCCCTCCTCCTGGCCCGGCCATGCTCATCCCAGAGTTCTGCTTCCTTACAGGTTACCATTTTATTCTCCAGTGTGCCACTGCTATAGCCATGGTATCAAATGTTTTTATTCATGAGGAGATTATTACTGAAGCAGGTCACTTGTTACACAATTTGTCAGTTTTAACAGGCATTACTTTTCTGATTACAAGAATACAGCAAAAAGTGAAGATGCCCTCAGGAGTCCTTGTGTGGTTATTGGCGACAGCAGTTAGTCTTTCTGGATCCATTGTAAAGCCTAACCATTTGGTGACATTTGTCCTTACTTGATAATAAACTCATTTTGTTTGACAGGCTTGACTGACAAGATGCGAGCTGACTACACCATCATGAAGGACTTGGACAAACACACCAAATTGGAACCACAACAGAGAGAGTCGCGCCTCAACAAATTTGTCTCCACTTTGCATATGTAGGTGATATTTGTGCACTTGTGGCCACAACGATGCAAGCCCAATTAATGTATAAAGAGAACTGGATGCAGCGTTTCATTCCACATTTGACGTCTTTCAGGAAGTATTATGTTAAACTATAAAAAAGGGCTATTAAAGTGACATACTCGTCAGTTGATATATCTCGAACACATTATTCACTGATTTACATATAGCTTTTTCCCAATAAAGTTGATGATAAAAAAATGTTGGGCCCCATGCACAGCTGGCCAATCTATCAATATGAGGATATCATCAAATCGCACAAGTATGTTCAAGTTAAAAAAAAAAAAGGTTTCACTACAGTATTAATGCAATATCAATTTGGCAGTATCTGTTAAATTGTGATCTTTATTTTATCGCTCTAGCCTCATTTCGTAATGTGACTGAAACAGTAGTTTTAATTCCTAGGTTTGGCAACATTTAGTTTAAAAGCATGACACACTTCCTGTGGGCTATGACAGTCCCCGTTTTAAACAGGTCTAATCAACACACACTTTTTACATTAGTGAGGCGGCTATACATATAAAAAGTGCCATTTTTCAGGGTTAACATTGACCTCTTCACAACTACATTTCCCTGTTGTGAATACTGTTAAAATATTTAAAGAATAAGTAGATTTCTAATAAGTAGTTCTTAGCCTGTGTAATTGGACTGTTCCTATGCACAGTGGATACAATTGTATTTTCTCCTTTCCACATCTTGAGGCATTATGATACCAGCCTTTTGATTTTAACCCCAAACATGTTTCCATAGGAACACTGATGCACAGGCGGAGTTGGACAAGTGGGGACTCAGCTTTGACAGGGAACTCCTGAAAATGACTGGCCGAGTCCTCCCGGGGGAGAGGATTTTCCAGGGATCTAGATCGGTACAGTACATGCTTGTGTTTGCATTAATCAATTTTTCTAAATAAATTCAATGTATTCATTTATATGTTCTATAAAACGGTTAAAATAATTGTTTTGTCCCATAGTACGAGTTCAACCCCATGATGGCTGAATGGGCCAAAGAGATGCGTGGCGTGCCTATCATCAACTCTCCTCCGATTGACAAGTGGTTCATGTTTCACACCCGGCGTAACGCCAACGAAGCGATGTCCCTTATGCAGACACTCGGCAAAGTCTCCGCTCCCCTCGGGATCCGCATGCAGAAAGCCGTCATGTGAGTTTCAGCAAAAAAACACTGCAACAAAAACCAGCGACCTTATAGACCAGTGACCATCAACTGGCGGGCCAAATCTGGCACGCCAGACATTCTCATCCGGCACGCGCTGTGGCGCTGGCGGAGTAGTTAGTACGTTCGCCCCCCACTTTTTTTTACGTCTCGTGAGTAATGTGCAGTACCAGAGTCCAACAGAGAGGCAGCAGCTGCGGAACAGTAGCCTGCGTAGCCTTCCCTGCCCTGAAGAAGTGATCCTTCGTTAGTGCGAAGAGTGCTTTATGCGCTCCGCAGTAGCCCCCGCTACGAGGCGCCGGTGACTAGACCGTACATGAGCATGCTCCTCTAGCACTTCCCCTCGATTCTATTGGCTCTAACGGTTAAAAGAGATGTCAATCGTCAAAATGGAACGAGGGGGGCCAGAGATAGGTCAAATGACCCCAGAAGTGGGTTTTTTTTGGCTAAATCTCTAAAAAGATCAAATGTCACTTGTTTTGCATGAATCTTGATACAGGGTACTTATTATATCGTATAGTTTGGATTCCTAAAGCTTTTAGTCTACTATCCCATCATTCAAAGGGGGTTTTCACTAGAAGTTATGTGTTTTTTTTTTTTTTTTTTGGCTGTGCAATTAATCGTATTTTAATCGCAATTACGATTTTGGCCTGCCACAATTACGAAAACAACATAATAAAAAAAAAAAAAATTATTTTGCTTTGCTAGGTTGTGACAGTGCACTGCAACATATTTGATCTAATTAATTTTAGTCTCATTTATTTGTATTTATATATATGTTTAGTAGCTTTGGGAAGTGCGCTCCAAAATATTTGTTGATCTTGTTTATTGGTATTTATTATTTTGATATTATTTCATTTCACACCTTTATTTATCCAGGTTGTATCCCATTGAGATCATTGATCTCTTTTTCAAGGGAGACCTGCTCAAGTAGGTTCCACATGAAACATTAAAAACATAAACAGAACAACAAAAGGACATCATACAGTAGCATTACAGGGATTACAATTTACATACTATCCACATGCACAGGTATGTATTTATTTAAATGTATCATTTATTTTAGTATTGGTTTTTCAGTTGAATTATACGTTCAGGGTAATCGACAGTTAAAAAGATACTGTTCAAATTATTATTTGTTTTAAAGTTCAATAAATGGATGTTTTCAAAGTCAATGAATAATCGTATTTAATAATCGTGATATCAATTATTGACCCAAATAATCGTGATTATGATTTTTGCCATAATCGCACAGCCCTAGTTATACAGTATATCTTTGAAAAATGAACTGCCCTGATTCGATGGTTTTTATGGTCATTTAGTTATTGCAAGCTGTTCTTTTCCTTTAGGATCGAGTATGATGACCAATCAGCGTCTCTCCTCAGAGCCCTGCAGCAAAACGTGACACCCCAAACACAGATGGTGAGTGACTGAATATATCATGCTTAAACTCAGAGGTGTATCACCTTCACAAGTATTACTTTAGTTGAGGGTTGCACAATATCTCAATTAGGCACCTCAAGTTATATCTGTGCTGCAAAAGGAAAACATGCACAGGGACCACTCATCGGTTGTTCTTTAATCAGTTTGATCAAACAACCAAAGCCAGGCTGATCGTCCTTAAAATGAACGAGGGGCAGGAGATAAAATCATCAGGAGCTGAAACACAAGTTGTATGGAAATATTTCACCTACAGAAATGGATGATGGCAATCTAAAACGGGTACTTAGCGGTAAAACAGTTTAAATGTTGCGGAAGAAAGAATTGATGTCTTTTTAAATCCAGTTTTTCCCAATAGCATGTAACCTTAAATACTTTAATTTATTCTGATCCGTGGTGTTGTGGCATATAGTTGTCTTCAAAGCTGAATGAGACGTGCTGTTTTTCTATATTAGGTGGTGGTGGTCCTCTCCAGCAACAGGAAGGATAAGTATGACTCCGTCAAGAAGTACCTCTGTGTGGACTGCCCCACCCCCAGCCAGTGTGTGGTGGCCCGGACCCTCAGCAAACCCCAGGCACTCATGACCATAGCTACCAAAATTGCTCTGCAGATGTCTTGCAAGATTGGAGGAGAGCTCTGGAGCGTGGAAATCCCTGTAAGTTGTATGCACAAGAACTCATCTGTACATTGAAGAAATTAAAGCTTAACACGTGTTTTAGAAAAACGAGATAAATTAGTTTTTTAGTGAGTTAAGTTGTTTTAGAGAGTAGAACTGCTACAGCTAATTGTTTGACTAAACATAATACAGCTTTATCAGGGTTCCCGCGGGGTCTTAAAAAGTCTTAAAAAGTCTTAAATTTGATAATCTGAATTTAAGGCCTTAAAAAGGTCTTAAATATGACCAAAAAAATAAGAAAGGTCTTAAATATGATTTAGAAGGTCTTAAAAATGATCGGATTTGAAAGGTACTTCTGTGTTGAGATCGCGTCTAAATGTGTTTGGGGGAAATGTCCGGGCTGCAAAGTAACCAGTACGGTAAGAGCCTTTCAGTTCCCCCCAACAATTTGTATTGAAATAAATCAACATGGAACCAGTAATCACTAACTTTGTTTCCCCCGGCCCCTTATTGGAGAACACCCAGCTAGTAACCTAGCAAGCTTCAGCTAGCGGCAGTCAGAAACTCATGTATCTTAGAATCTACTTAAAAATAAATATGGGGAAGTGTAAGTTCAACCGTATTTTAGCGTTAGCTAGTGCAGCAGCTCCTGCAACAACACCGGCGGACCTCTGGGCGACGTTTGGGTGTATGTCAACCCTAAAAGCGGAGGTGCCGTAGACGCTAAATACCGTAGCTAAACACCAATCATACAACAGCAACGATGAAAGATTGTAGCCAAGGCAGCAGAGCTCTGAATATAGCTCTTGTCTCTCTCTCTCTCTTGGACCTCTCTCTGCCATCTCATCTAGCGAGATGCCATATGATCTATAGATCTCTCATATAGTTATGCTCGCTATAGGATCTCTCTCTCTCATCTATCTCCTCTCCTCTCCTCTCTCTCTCTCTCTCTCTCTCTCTCTCTCTCTCTCTCTCTCTCTCTCTCTCTCTCTTCTCTCTCTCTCTCTCTCTCTCTCCTTTCCTCTCTCTCTCCACACACACACACACTAGGGAGCTCTATTATGGCAAAAATCATAAATCACGATTATTTTGGTCAATAATTGATATCAAGATTATTAAATACGATTATTCATTGACTTTGAAAACATCCATTTATTGAACTTTAAAACAAATAATAATTTGAACAGTATCTTTTTAACTGTTGATTACCCTGAACGTATAATTCAACTGCAAAACCAATACTTAAATAAATTATACATTTAAATAAATAATATCAAAATAATAAATACCAATAAACAAGATCAACAAATATTTTGGAGCGCACTTCCACAAGCTACTAAACATATAAATATGATAAATACAAATAAATTAGACTAAAATTAATTAGATCAAATATGTTGTAGTGCACTGTCACAACCGTGCAAAGCTAAATAATTTCGTAATTGTGGCAGGCCAAAATCGTAATTGCGATTTAAAATACGATTAATTGCACACCCCTAGCACACAGACACATACACTTTTTGTCTAACACGCTAACACAGTTCTGTTATGCCTTTACATTTACTTTGTAAGTAATTATGGGACGTATTTCTTCTTTCATAGCAATTTTCCTTCATACTTTCTTGCCGTGAAATAGGTCTTAAATTCTATTCAAAGTGGTCTTAAAAAGGTCTTAAAAAGTCTTAAATTTGAGTAGGTGAAACCTGCAGGAACCCTGTTTATTTATAAAGCACTTTAAACCTCCAGACCAACGTGCTGTACAGTCAAAACGTACAAAAAATAACACAGCACAAGTAAAAACAATGGACAATTTAAAAGCAATACTCTAAAAGATGTTAATACGCTGAGGAGAAGAGGTGGGTTTTAAGAAGCGCTTTAAAAGCAGGCCGTGTGGTAGCCTGTCGGATAGGCATGGGCAGATCGTTCCACAGTGGGAGCCGCAACAGAGAAGCAACGGAATGACTTTGATTTGTTTACCATTAATCACTCGGACTGTGGCACCCTGCCATTGTGTAGTTTCCAGTTTCCCACCACATATTTATAATAAACCCAAAACATTTGAACACCTCGTTGGGTGATTCAGACGATTCACCGCATTTCATTAGTTTCCAAGTCTGGGCAAAGATGAATGTTTGGGTGAAAACCAAAGGTACTGATGAATGTGGTTTGGGGTGAGGACATGACGCTTGCTGCTAACTTGCCCTTCTCTCTGTGCAGCTCAAACAGCTGATGATTGTGGGCATCGACTGTTACCATGACATCTTGGCCGGGAACAGGTCCATTGGAGCTCTGGTGGCCAGTCTCAACCAGAGCATGAGCAGGTACGTTTCTACGGACAAACCCCTCAACAGTTTCTACATTGTTCTTCTGTCACGATCATGATACCAAAAACTCAAGTTAATTCAGTGTTATTTATTTGCTGTTCATGTACACATTACAACCATTGCCTCCGCTCTGATACATGAACGCATGGTGAAACAAACATGCCTGTTTATCCTTATGAAAACACCTTACTGTCTCGACATTTAAATTAGATTGCATATTATAACAGAGGCCTTCCGGTGGTTATATTACGCTGTCTGTGTATATTCTAATCTGAGGGGTAGCCTCTTTTCTCACTTGACATGTTTTCCCTCTGATTTAGTGCCATAACACAACCAATAAGTCGCGTGCTGTTTTTATCTTCTGTCAAGGTGGTATTCAAAGTGTGTGCTGCAGCACAAAGGGCAGGAAATCATGGACGGACTCAAGATGGCCTTGTGTGGTAAGTTTCCTTTCAGAAGTCTATTAAAGTCCTATCTTTAATTTTCTATCAACAATCTTGGCCTCAGTGCTATAATGTTTTTATTTGTGTTCCAGGTGCTCTGAAAGACTACATGAAGTTCAACAACTGCCTGCCTTCGCGCATCATTGTGTACCGAGACGGGGTGGGAGACGGCCAGCTGCACAGCGTGGTCGACTACGAGGTGTCACAGATCCTGGACTGCATCAAGTCCATGGGGCACGACTACCTGTGAGTATTTCATCTCTAAGAGCCCTCTCAAAGCATTCACAAGGCTTGAATCTTAGGACTTTATTTTATACTTGGAGTAAGTAATGTTTGGCTATGTGTTGAGAACGAGAGGGATCCCTGATTGGTTGAGTGGGGTAATGGAAGCACCCTAACAACTTGAACAGAGCTCATTATACCAGAAATGGCCAGTTTTCTGAAGGGGCCTCTCCCTCTGTTGGTCATAGGCCCAAGCTGACTGTGGTGGTGGTGAAGAAGCGCATCAGCTGCAGGTTGTTCAGCCTCGTCACTGGGAAGGTCACCAACCCCCCCCCAGGCACTGTGGTGGACTCAGTCATCACCCGTCCAGAGTGGTATGTTTCTGGATGTCCCTGCATTATTCTAAACATTTTCGGTAGTAGGAGGTAACTGTTGCAACCTTTTTTCAGGTATGACTTCTACATCGTGAGCCAGTATGTCCGCTTTGGCAGCGTTGCCCCGACCCACTACAACGTAGTGTACGACAGCAGCGGCCTGAAGCCTGACCACATGCAGCGGCTCACCTACAAGATGTGCCACATGTACTACAACTGGCAGGTAGGCTGGCTCGAAACCTGCGCTGATAAGAGTTCTGATCCAGGGCCATGCAGTTTAACATTATTATGGTGACCTGAGGACAGATATCGTCTTACATTATTAGGATATCCAAATATTGTAAGTGCTGTTCTGTCTTGATTTTAAAAGCTGCAGTGAAGTAATGCTATATTCAGAATTGAACATACTTCTTAACTTCTGCATTTCTCTTAATCAGAAAATTCATATCAGACAATTTGTAAAAAATACTGAGGGATTTGGTCAAAAGTAACTTAATTCTCTTCATATTGACTTTAAAATAATGTTTTTTCAGAACCAACAGGAATTGGCTAATAACATATTCCTAAGGGTCATCCAGTGATTGTTAGAGTTGATATGCTCTGGTTTATGTTCTGTGTTTGTGCTTCAGGGGATCATCAGGGTGCCCGCTCCGTGCCAGTACGCCCACAAGATGGCCTTCCTGGTGGGCCAGAGTATCCACAGGGAGCCCAGCATGAAGCTGGATGACCTGCTCTTCTATCTGTAGTGAGGAGGAAGAAGAAGAAGAAGAGGAAGGGCGAGCGTTTTGTTCTGCTCTGACGTTTAAGTTGCCTTCTGAAGGAAAGGCATGGTTGTGTTTAAGTTTTGCCAAAGCAGTTTTTTTACATTTTGTAACCTTGTGTATTGATTTACGCAGTTCATGTTCACATTTGATAATGTTCTAATAAACATTTTAGTTGTTATGTATTTTGTGTTCATTTAAAGCACACATGCAAACATTACAAAATATCAAATTTATTTAGTTTGTTTTTCTAGAAAAGATTGCACATGCACACCCACACAATAATTTGTAACCACCAATATAGGCTGATATCTCTTATCATAAAGCTAGCACACAATTGCAGACTTTTAAAACAATATGGTCTTCAAGACACCATGGGGAAAGCTTGCACTGTTTGATTATAAAGTTAAATGTACAAAAAAGGCAGTTTGAAAATCAAGTATAAACATTTAAAAACAATTTTACAAATGGACAAAGTACAAAAAGAGCAACAGTCACTCGAAATGAATAGAAGCAATGGTCCATACATAGGAAAAGATGAACGTCAGCTTACCGCAGGTTAACAAGGCTGTCCGGACGAGAATTGTACAGAAAGTATTACAGAATGTTTTGCATACATTCTTTTTTGGCAGTTTCAGTTCAACTCTTGTTATAGAAAAAATAGGCTAGATTTTCAGATACATGAGGATGAAGTGAGGAAATAAAGATTTCATTTCACGCACTAAGACGGACATCTGCACAATCCTTTTGGGCAGCTTTGAAAAATACATTGGCTTTCAATTCATCATACATTCACTACTCTACATTAAGGTGTAGATATATATATTGATATACAGTTCTTGTATCCTGCACCAACCTAAATCGGGACACTGAACCGGCATCAACAGACAGATTGGCTTGAATAAACATTTTTGAGATCGAATGAATGTTGGGTAAGAAGGGTTAGGGCAGCGTAGAGGTAGCCTTGTGTCTCACTGTTAACAGAAACCTTTAGTCTTCTAGTGAAGCTCCAAAGTGTTGCATGTTAATAAAATGCAGTACGATAACAGGGATTTGCTGATGTTATAGCACAAAGATCAACTTTCATTTATTTGATCTGTTAATGTAATGTAGTTTTCTCTGTAGAGTAGTCATTGTATTAAACCAGATGTGCATCAGTGTGGCATTAAAAACCGTTACCTAAAAGATAAGAACATTTACTCAGCCTCAACATTTGGGATGCAGAGAGAATTTGTTTCATCTATTTTCTAAAATTAAAAGTCTTGACCATGATAGACATCATCCCCACAGGAGTCTTGGACAGTTACATGTGAGCTCTGGTCCTAATGGAAACCCCGCACATCACAGGTCAGGATCAACATGTTTATGTGAAGGTACTGATGTAAACTAATAGAATGCATGGACCTGCACACTACTGGGCACTACTAACTAACCATTGTGCGATTATAAGGCAAATACATGAAGGTTGGATCTACTAGGCATTTCCATTCAGGCTGCAGAGATCCTGTAAGTAGAAACAGCATGTGCTTCCTTTTCTTTTAAGGTTTGGGGGGGGGGACATTTCTTCTATCACAGCCGTTGAGCTAGGGCAGAAGAGTAGGAGTTAATTCTGCTGATTTGTCACAGTATACTGCACAGCCACGCTGTAGTATAGTACTGCATGCTCTCTCAGGGGTCAGGAGGGAATGTGCTGAAGTAAAGCATGCAAACCTCTCATACATTTTATGCAACTGGCTGTGTGGAATAACTCTGTCTTTCTTCGGATTGAAAACTGAACACCCAGGTTAAATTGATCCCTCTGGGTTTGATTGACATTCTGATTTCTGTACACAGACACGGGTAGGACTCATAATGTGATACGTTTGGTAACTCACAATGTGCAGACTGCCCGGCCGTGTCTCTGTCAGCAAACATCAGTCAGACTTGGAGGTAAGATACTGAATACTATACCGGCCGACACAACGAGGTCTCAGGATCATAATATGAAATGTGGTATTGAAAATATGTAGTTAACAAAATACAAATATTCTAGTATACGATGGATGTACAAGAATAAAGCATTTGCTAAGCTTTTCTTTTTTTAAAACACTACAAGGAAGTATGTGGAGAAATTATTTTACAGCGCCAAGTCCTTGCAACAGTGTCTTTCCTTTGGAGAGCAGTCCTTTTTTCCTTTGGAGGAGTACAGGGTGGCAGGGCCGGAGCCTGGGGGGTGCGGGCGCTCTGTGGGAGGGCCTGCTCTTCTGGGCCGACCCGAGTTTTCCAGTGGAACCTAATGGAAGACCCGTAAGGGACAGTTGAGGGTGTTAAAAAGCCAGCCGTCCCTCCCCCCTCAGTTACTACTCCCCGACTCCTAAGTCCTCTCTGCCTCAGCAGGGCCACCACAGATCTGAAGTCTACCTCCCTGGACGTTGTCCCGTGCACTCAGGTAAAGATACACTGCCCCCCCCTCCCTCTGTCAGGTAGAATCAGCATTTTTTTTTGATGAAGCTGCTAGGAATTAGCTACAACAACACAAAATGTAAGCATGACACTAACAGACTAACTTTCACATTATTTTGTCGACAACATTTCCCCAACAATAAATATCAAGGATAGGGCAGATCCTCTCACATCAACACATTTGCATTTTGGGAAAAGTGGGACATATTTATATCACATTCACTTTCCTTCCCCTTAAATATGGATATTTACTGGTACAACTGGGTCACAGAGAAACTACTAGTCACTATTCCTTTTCTGTAATCATGAGCTAAAAGGCTCCTTTAAATTGCACTTTGGAAAGACAGATGGTCAAAGATTCCATTTATATAAACATGTGGTTAGAACACCAGAACATGTAACGTATCAAAATCTTTTGTATTTCATTATGCTGACTTTAAAGCGGGACTGTTAAAAACAAAACATGCCTACACTTGCATATAAAGAGTTGTATTCACCTTATGGTGGCTAATGTTAGCAGTAAATTAGGTAGGTTGGTAGCTATTGCTGTAAAACAAACATAACTGTCAGATTTCTAAATGCTGAACATGAGTGTAGCAATTCAGCATAATCTGACTCTCATTTGTAGCCGTTAGTCAGCTCAAATGTTATAGTCTCGCTTTAATTCAATAATGATCAGTTGGCAATTGACTGTGATAGTTAGTCTTGGTTCACAGCATTAGCACTGTTTTAAACTTCAATGCTTACGGATTGGATAAACATGGACTGTTATTATATTTGCATAAAGTGATTTGTCTTACCATTTCACATTATTCTTTACATACAAGAAAACAATCCCAAATTGGCCCAAATTACTTTTGAACTGCAAATCCAAATTCAATATTTTCATGGTATCATTATTTGGAGTTTTGCATAGAAAATTGAGGGTTTTCTGCACTGGGAGTAGTCTTAAGTACTACAAATTATTTTGAATAAGTGCGTGTAATTGTGAAACTACGGCCTTTTAGCTTACCATGAGTTACAGCAGGAGACTTATTGCAGGAGACGAACATTGTCATGTACAACACTCAGAGAAACAACTGAAGATACCATACTTCTTGTCTAATGCATTGGCTGGGGTGACGGTCGCCTACCAACAAACAGTATTGAGGGTTGAGGTGAAACAAAGAGGGATTTAAGACTACCCAAAGGCATGGCAGCACTGAAGGAATGTCAGATAAAAAACACATGTTGCATACCAGACGCTAAGGGTACCCTTGACATCTGCATTAGACGAGGGGAGCGTAATCTTGGTATCCTCAGTTGCTCACTTACGTGACGGAAACAGAGCCTTTAAGGTGTGAAATGAACACTCTTCTTCTGTTTTGCCAAGCGGGTGAGAAAAAGGAATAAAACAAAATATGGTGATGGCATTTCAATAGTTTGCACTATGACAAATGGCAAATTAGAACACACAAGGAAAGAAATATCTGATGACACCTATTCATATTTCAACAATTGCATTATTTGTTAAACACAAAAATAACATCACATATTTACATTTAGTAAATCATTACTTCTGAAATTATTCTCTGATGGCAACATAGGCTAAGTGACCTTTGCGTGCTACTTTACAAGAAAGCAATATACAAAACAAGGCGTTCAGGAGCAGATACAAAAGTTGTACTACACTAGACTCTTCTTTTTAGAAAATGTTCAAGAATTCATGCATCTGGAATATAGGACATGCTGAGCTACAGACTACATAGTTCATCTTTCAGTACAACAAAACTATTTACTCTATTATAAATTATTTGAGATCAGACACAGAATATATTCATAAAGCATCTGTTAGAATGCTAAATATGCATGTGCAAAAAGTGTTAACTGCTCTTTTTCAAGACATGACAGAACAAGTAAAAAGTCACTCTCATTGAGAATGCTTTATGAATACAATATATCCATGTATTATACAATGCACAACCCCCCCCCCCCCTTTCACAGCGGTAAACATGAAAAATAAAAGTACCTCTGTCAAGTATTAGTCTTAAAATTTTATTTTTTCATAGATCTTAGACATCTATTTATTTACAGTGTAATGCTCCAAAGTCAGAAATCCCATTGTACTTCAATGAGACACACACACGCACAGACACGGTACTAAAAGAGATAGAGGGAACTGAAAATGGATGACAGAGGGCTAGTACTGCGAAGGAGCATGTACCCTTTTGGTCTTTATCCGTGCAGGAGTGTCCTGGGGGTATCGAGATGGTGAGTCAGTGAGAAAAACCTCCACATCGTCAGGCACTTCTTCTAGAAAGTTGGAAGGAACTAGTCCCTTGTGTCCATTGAGCTCGCCCTGAGAAGCACACAAGGACAGTGAAACACAGCTGAGTTTAGCTTTCAATGAAGGTTTCTCATTTCTCTAATTTCCCCTACTCGACTCCTCGAATCCTCGGTCCTCCGGTAGTGACCCGGAAATGGATTTCAGCGCGCCATGCAGAAGGACATCTAATTTCTCTAAATGCACATCGAGGACCGAGGATCGAGCATCGAGGAGGCTCTCTGGAGGAGCTATAACCGAGGATACACTGATGGGTCCTCCGCGGATGTATTTCCGGCAACAGTGATGTTTCAAAGAGTCGTGACGCACGGCCGGACTTATCTCAGCCAATGACAGCTCTGCATGCATCCCCTGGATATTATTTTACTAACTGCTTGAACGGTAACGCGATGTTTACAGTGAGAACAGCTGTGAGGTCCGTGCAGAAAGCAGAGCAGTGTGTATAATATATATCACTCAGTATAACAGGCCTACATTACTCTCTTTATTTGTATGCTTTAGTTTAGTAGATATCCACAAACAAAGAGTCGATATTTTTCTAAGACCATTTAGTGCTTCACATAATAAAATAGTAAACACAACGGCTGTATCCTGATATATATTATATGCTTTAGGAGCTGTAGGTGTTGTACAGTGTGTAGGTGTGTGTGGTACAGTGTGTAGGTGCGTGTTGTACAGTGCGTAGGTGCGTGTTGTACAGTGCGTAGATGCAGCGGACAGACGGGTCTCAGTTGGTTTGGTGTCCTATGCTTACTTTTAATACTTGTAAATAAAACTTTTGGCCCGTAATTTCAATTCCCCATTTCAGCGACCAGAGAGAGGGGGGGGGATATATCCAGTCTCTGATTCTGTTACTTTATTATGAGAGTGCTCTCATACTTGTTTGATTCTGAAATTGTATATTTATATAAATATATATTTGTGTGTATATGTCCGCATCTGTAGCCTGTTATTGTCTCATTATACCGCACTGTGAATGAATTAAAAGTAAATATATAAGTCGTCATGAACACATCTGTCCATCAGACAGAGGGCTGCTGTGCCTCCTGTCATCATTAATGGACGTCTCTTTAAAATGACCGCTCAGAGGAGAGGAGTTCTCATTTCTCTAACCGCCTGCTGCTTCCCCTCCTCTCTCCTCGGTTCCCCTCCTCGGCTCCTCCACTCGCATCTCCTGTGGGCGGGACTAAGACACGAGGATAGGAGTCGAGGAGGGGAATTAGAGAAATGAGAAACCTTCAATGTTACCCTTCAGTTTCAGAGTATCGCCCCTTACTTTCAGGAGGTCTCAGTTTCAAATCAAGCTGCAATAGAGTTGAGAAATGGGAGGACGATGCGATAATGTATAAGCATGAACACAAGTTTGTACATTCAGCAGATCCAAACATGAGTCACAGGACATTGCCTATGGAAGAAATGAATGGGACTATAAACCAGGGGTGCCAAAAATCTTAGTTCTGCTGACTTATTGGATGGTTTTACAATACATTTAAAAAGAAAATATAAATGTACACTCAAGCTATGGCCACCTGTTTAATGACTTCTCCTTTGTTTCCAAGACATACATGGTTTTTGTATTGCTATAAATGCTACATTACCAATGAGCCGCAGCCAAGGTGTGAAAAGGGCTTGAACGATTAGTTGAACAACAGAAAAAAAATCACAACTATTTTGATAAGATATTTTTGGTTTGTTATGCAAAAAGCCTCTGAAAGTCAGAAAATGCCAGTTCTTCTGTTTTATGCTGTGTTAAAGTGAATATCTTTCAGTTTTAGACTGACAAAACATTCAAAGACATCATCTTAGACTGAACTTGGATGGATATTTTTCACAATTTTCATTTAAAGGAGCAAACAATGAATCTAAAACATGTTTGGCAGTTTAGTCGATAATGAAAATGATCCTCCCACTTCCCAACTCTATGATGAACGCACAGATGTGTTTTGATGTAAACTGTACCTATTGTAGTTCACCTGTAAAGATGCATTGTGCTCTGAAATAGTAGGGGAAAACAGAAACAGATGCTAAAAGGACATGAAAATAGAAATGTTTAGAACTTACATAGTAAAAGCCATCTTCATCGATTTCACCGAAAACTGTGATGACGTCACCGGCACAGAAAGTCAGTTCAGGCTGTCAAAGGAGAAAGAGCATTACGATACTGGACAGCAGTAAACAGATTTAAAAAACATCAGGTGTACTGGGGTTGGAGGAGTTTGAAATGCTGTGCTTCCTTCTCCAAATGAATGTGATGCATCTTAAACACGAGTGTCAACTCAGTCGGACTGTTGCAACTGTCGATGCATCACATGGTGGAACTTTGAAGACAGGATTGCAACACACTGGGCACATCTGTCCTACGGGGGGGTGGGGGGGGGGGGGGGGGGGGGGGGGGGTATGTACAGTATTTAGGAGACAGGTCGACACAATGGACCAAACTGAGGAGGGGAGATGCTGGCTGAGGAAACGCATGAAGGGCTGTGTTCATGACTGCCAGGGCCCGTCATCTGAAGCCCACTTCCTCGTTTGCACTCCAACAAACGGGGGAGGAAACACACACAGAGCAGACAGTACCATACCCTCCTCTTCCTCACTCACCTCCTCATTCAGTCTGTTGCCCTCATACTGTGTCGGTGCCAGTGCCAATAGAAAGGTGAGAGTAAGTGAAGGGGGGACGGGGGCAAAAAAACAGCACGGGAAAGTAATTCAATCCTGTATCTTACACAATGCTAACTGTAGCCCTTTGGTAACATATTGCCACAACAAGGATTAGTGCAACATCATCTCGCCAGGATACCACTCGTTTGATGCTACAGCTAGCAGAGGGTTGGCTTAGCTTGAAATAAAGACTGTAAGCAGGGAGAAAAAGCTATCCTGAATTTTTCTGTTATAAAAGCATCTGCCAGCAGCTCTAAGGCTCAGTTATTAACTTGTTGAATCTGTACAAAAACTGATGATTAAAAAACTGGGGTCTATTTTTTGTCTGTAGGCAAGTCTTGTCACTGGATACATCTCAGCCTAATTGGTCGCCATCTTGGCAGATATATTTCAGTGTGCGACAATCACGGTCAGATGTCGGCGGTTTGGCTTGGTCGGGTTGCAATTTGCCATTAAATACAAGAAGAAGAAGAAGAAGTGGTCAAATTATGCGATTCTTACTTCCTATAATTGCAGAACAGCCGAGTTCAACTCTAGACAAAACTACCCCATCAAAACTCACACAACTCACTAAAGAAAGTACATAGTGTACACCGTGTACTACATGGAAGTGTAATAATAATACATTTAACTTATATAGTGCTTTTCTGAGTACTCAAAAACATTTACTTAGCTAACGGAGGTATCTAAGTTGAAAGAAGCATGATAGATGAATTGGCTCTGTGTGCAACCGTCTTCAAATAAGAACTTGAACACGAATTAGGTATAACATGCTAATTTCAGTTCTTTGCTTACAGAATACAGAGGCAGATACTGTATATTTAAACATTTGATCAGAGCCAGTCTAGAAGTTTCGCCCTGCTTATTTCCTTAGTGCTAAGCTAAGCTAACCATTCTCTGGCTATAGCTTAATATTTACCTGACAGACACAAGAGTAGCATCAATCTGATCTAGCTTGGCGACACAGTGAATATGCTTATCTCCCAAAATGACTTTAAATAGTGAAATCATTAAACAAAACATTGAACATCCTCATCTTTGTGCTTCGACTGCTTTACGCATCTGTTTACATGATGGTGGTGACAGAGAATGATTCAGACAAAGTGAATATCTGGAGCCACAGGAGGGCAGTACCTCTACATCAACGTTAGGGGAGCTCTCCCGGGGGTCGTAGTCGTACAGAGCCACCATTCTTCGTGTGGACATCGGATGCTGCCGGCCACTCCGCCTGTTCCTCTCTATTTAGAGAACAAGTGATAATAAACAGAAAAACAGTAAATCAGTGGAAATAACATATCATCTTTCCTGAAGGATTTGATGAGCTGTGATGAAACATGATAGCTTTGAAATGTCATAATCTGGCTTGCAAGCTAAACTACCCTCATGTTTTGAGTTATGGTAAGCCTAGATACAAAAGATATATTAGAGATGAGTTTGAAGCAGTCAATAGATGAAAAAAGATGGTGAGAAGTAGGAAAGGAGCAGTAAAGTAAAGAGCAGAAGAGCATCTCACTGGACACAGACCTCGCTTGGACTTTCTGGACCTGCGATTTATTGAGCGGCCATCTTTGAAACGGTCACAGTTCACTTTACAAGAAAGCAGAAAAAGAATAAGAGCAAAGGAAAGGATAAATGTGTCAGTAAAAGACAGTTCAGAAGAGCATTAAGTTGGAAGTCAGGGAGGGTATAAAGGCAAAGTAAAAAACAGAAGAATGCAAGGCGGTGCTGAAGGAAAACATCTCACCTAACTTCTCCACAGGAGTGTTGAGTGGCAGGAAGCCCTGTTTAAGGAGCTGGTCTATCATATCATAATCCTCTGTTTGGATCTCAGAGACCATGTTACAAGGGATCAGACCAACTCGGTCCCGGACCTCCGCCCTGTAGAAACCATCCGTGTCTTTGTTCCCAAAGACCTAAAGGAACAACAAAGTGTCAGGGGAAGAAAGGCATGGCAGAAACAGATAATATGTAAAACAAGGATTAGAAAAGGCACTTCTAAAGGCATTAGCTAAGACAACATTTGGGCATAGAGGATTTAAAGAGACAAGACATCTAGCATCATTTTATTTTTTTGCTATGCATGAAACAAATCCGTCTATAGGTCTTTGTAGTGTCTAAGAACTGCACCTTGATGATCTGGCCCTCCTTGAATGGAAGCTCCTCGTCAGCAGCGTCAGGGTTGGGAGACATGGACATGGGGTCGTAGTCGAACAAAGCCACGAACACACGCGTCATCTCGTCCGGCTCCGACTCCTCGTAGTATTCCGGGGAGCGCCGTCCCCGCCCGGTTCGCCGCCCGCCATAGCCGTCTGAAACATAGAGGAGGCCTCTGCTGCTACTACCAGCCTTATACAGCCACGCTGGCTGTAGAGGCAATGAGAGCAGAAGATGTCTCTTTGTTAGAGCTGACAGGGGAGAGGGCGATGAGATGCATGTGTGAAAAAAGAGCCGAAAATCTTGCTTTTGGTTTTAAATCTCTTTTACTTTGGAAACCATATTCCTGTCGGGTTCCCGCACTGAAAGCAAAGGGTGCTTTTACAGAAAAAGGCTCGGTGCAACCGTGGCACATGGTGGGGTTCTTCGTTCACACATCTCTGCTAGCTGGCGTGACAGTCTCTAAACATCACAGCACGGTGGGAGCACAGTACAGCACAGCACAGACAGGAAACACATGTCAAGCAGATTTCAGGTTGCAAGGGAAACTGAACTGACTGTGCACACCAGGACACGAGTAACACTGCACTATTGTTCATTGCTGTTTCACTGCCTTATCTCACAGAGGCTAATTAACATGCATGCTTTTCCCGGGATTGGACACGATGAGGAGAGCATTCCTATATCAAATGCAGGTGTTACAGGCATGCTTTGAGGCCACATCTGGAAACAATGTGCGGCGAAAAAAGGACAAAGGAGGCACGTTCCCAAGGGAGATAACACATCAATTGCCCCAGCAGTTCCTGGCATCGCAGATATCAGAGAGGGGGAAGGGATGAACCTGATATCAGTTCCCCATGCTTCCCTTGGATCACCATGTTAAATGTTTCAATGGCAGATTGTAAGTCTGGATGATGGCTCAGACGTATTGCAACCAATACTAACTAAGCAACTGAAAGGTGACGTTTTGAAGATGTGACATGTGTTTCAGTCTTTCCTTCTCACTGTATTGTAAACGGCTCATGCAAAATTAAAGCAAACGGGCTACTGGCTCATGAAGGAGGGAGGAGAAGGAAAAGAAGAGGAGGCAAAAGAGCTAAGGAAGAGGAGGTCGGGGGAAGTTACTGTGGGGTGGGTGAGTGGCCTGCATATGGAGGGTGAACGGGAAGAGTAGGCGTGAGTTGGGGATTATAGGGATTGAAGGAGTACATACAGGGAAGGGATTTTCATTCTCCAAAAAGCGGGAAAAGGGGCCAGTCTTGGTTTCCCCCGTCAGATGTATTCAGCATCGCTAAGCTAAGCTATACAAAGAGGCTAACTGTTCAGCACAGAACAAAGGCCACCATATCACTGCATGTGTTAAAAAAAACGACTCTTGGCCTTTTCTGGCATTGTCAAGGTGAATTGTCATAGTCAGCTGCGCCACATACCATATTGATCCTCTGAGGACAAAGCTCGCCATATCCTGCGCCGAGCTACACTGCCATAGTTAACATCCTCCTTGACGGGTGAGAGGTTCCCCTCACTGTTACTGTCCATGGTGATCTCTACAGAAGACACCAATCACAACGTTACGGTCAGAGATCCCCGCACACACACTCTGCTCTACCCCATGGCCCATTCACTCATGCTGAGACAGTAGGATGATGGGGTTGCCCTGAGGTGGGGGGGGGGGTGTACAAGGCAACAGGTTTCACTCTGGAGTCACTGGGTGTAAAACAGCAATGCTGGGAGGTCAAATTGGTTGGTCATGTAAACATGTTAACCCACAGTAAACACAGGCATACAGTAGGGAGTGTATCTGGGAAGACTTTCCTGAAGAGCTGCATGTGAACATTTGGCGATTCCAGCTTGTGAGGATGGACAGCTACAGGGTGTGCATTCACCCCACAAATTAAAGGTCTACGTGACAGTTAAGCTCTATGGGAGAGATGTACAGCTCGGCTCACATGGGTAAGGGAAACACATGGTATAAATAGCACAAACATCAGTGGCCCTGCAGGTGGGATGACGCTTCTCCTCATGTGGTGACCTCACTAACCAATGGATGGGATTTGCCGCAGTTGAGGGGGGTTGCCGATGTGAACCGCCCTCCTTCCTGAGTGGTCCAGGCGATCAGAGTTTCCATGTGATGAAGAGTTCCCAATGATCTTTAGAGTGAAAAACAAAAGACGAGACGTTAGAACAACGAACCACCTGCATTTTGAAGATTAGATAACTTTATAAAAAGGTATTTACAGAATCCCACAATCCTGTTAAAACAACAGAAAAAAACCATAAGAGCAAATGTTGTGACTTCCATTTGTCCTTAGGGCAGCAAAATAATAGTAAAACTGAAACAATAAGGAAACCCCACAGACCATCAAAACAAGTAAATCAAATCAACCCCCAACACAACAACATGGACTGGGGGTCAGAAAGGGTCAGATGGTTAGCTAAAGACCATTTGTTTGGTTTGTTTTGTTCTGTGCATGTCAGCTCCTTGATGAGAAAAGAAAGCAAATGGCGGCACGATTGATGATTATAGAGAAGGAGTGGATGAGAAGAAAAGGAGTGAAATAATGGATAAATATGTAGTTAGATGGAGAAAGCCATTATACCGTTAGCCTGGAGCGATGTATACTACAAAATCAAAACATTTAATATGAGAAGTGATGATGAACAAGTTTGTTTTTGCTGAAACATGTGAAAGAGGCAAGCAAGAGATGATGAGTATGGGTCGATGGCTAAATGAATCTCCGCAGGCTGCAGAAGTCTTGATCTGGCCTAAATATGAATATGAAGCAATGAGAGGCAGGAGATGCTGAAATGGAGCTTCAAGCGCAAAGTGGTGAGATACAGCAGCAGAGGCCGAGTCATGGAGATAAACAAATGAAGCCGGCAGCTGCCAGAGAGAAGGCAGGGGAAGAAGAGACCGGAGCAGCACTTTCCTTTACATGAAACCTTTCCCCTCGAAGACATGAGAAGTCAAAACGCAGGTAAATGGCCTTTAGGTAATAGAAAACTCTACTTTAAAATCCACCTGACATTCTGAGTACAAGCAAAGTAACACATACAAAATAAAACATCAAGTCGGACCAACCATGAACATGTGATAATGTGTCATAAAAATGAAAAACAAAACGGCAAATGAAAGAAAAGAAAAAGGGGGTCATCATAAAGAAAAACAGACAACATTAAGAAAACAGAATGGCGGCAGCTTGCTGATGAAAGTACAGCAGAAAGTCTGAATCACACACCAGCGGCTGGTCCCTGTTGAGCCTGGACAAAGAATGGGCCCTAGCCTCCCTGTGGGGGCTGTAATAAACCCTGTCCAGCTCGTCCAGCCTGCCCTCGCTCAGGGCCCCCTCCCTGGAGTAGTTTCTGGGCCCAACCTCCTGACTGGGCCCAAAGTGCTCCCTGCTCCTAAAGTCCCCCCTGTGCACCGACTTGGCTGTAGTCGCTGGGATGTCAGCGAACTCCTCCTCTACGCTGCACTGGCGAGTCAGAGTTCTTTTGCGACCCATGGCCAGCGCACGCCTTTCTACCGGGCCTTCGCAGTGTATGATCTGTATGGGCCCGCGCATGGGGCTCCCATGAGTGTAGTACCCTCGATACCCTCGGCCTAGAGAGCCTTCTTCCTCACTGCCGCAGTCCAAACCGCTGTCAGGACTCTTGGTGTTCTGGCGGTTGGGTCGTACCAAGCCACGGTCGTCTGCGCTGTAGCCGTAGCGACCGTCGGTGAAGCGAGGCGAGGAGCGCTGCCGCTGCAGGTGGCGGGAGTTCTTGTTCTGATGGTTGTTCATGTGGGGGTCCTGTGGGTACATCCTACGCTGAGTATGTGGCGTCCCTGGCCGCCTGCCCTCTTCGTAGCGGCGCTGGCCCATGCTGTCCACGCAGTCGGACTCTTCCTCCGCCACCTCGGGGATGCTGTGGAGGCGCTTGCTGCGGAGCGACTTCTGCTTCACCACCTCCCTCTGGAGGTCCCAGCAGTCCCTCTCCTCGGCTAAGTCCTGGCGCTTGTAATACGCCTTCAGTCGTGACCAGGAGCAAAGTTCCACAATTTCACAGTTCAGTTAGTTCAATTCAAAAACGTTCAGTTTAGATTTTTGTGAGGAGGGTTGAAAAGTTTTTTCGGAGGTTTTAGAACAGGCAGGAAACAACACAGTATGTGAATAGAACACATGGGGGGGAAAAGACAAAATAAAGACAGAATTAGTTAATTGTGGCAATGTAGTAAAACATGCAGTCTCATTCCGTGAGGAGGAAAATGGCATGCTCTGAACAGGAATCTGTGTGGGCTCAAATGTGGAGAAGTAAAAATAATAAAACTGATAATCTGAGCGAGAACTGGAAGTTAATGTGTAAAAAAGGGAATTTCGCTTGTGAGCAATTAGAAATATCCATCAAAATAGAAAGTGACTCACGGGTGAGGGATAAGTGAAAACACTATGATGATGAAATGAATGAATAAATCTTCCAAAAAGGAAACTGATAATGACATAAAGCTGAGTGGGAGAATAAGCTACATAATGATACCATTTAGAATAAAGTGAAACATACTTCAATGTACTCACAGAAAAAAACTGCAGAAGTTCATTTGACAATTAATAAGTGACTATTTTCTTAACAATATCTAATGAAAAATGTATATTATTATATAGTCACTATACATGTTTTAAAACAATAATGCTCTATGATAGAAGCATAAGGGGTGGATAATGTGCCACAGTATAACAATTAGATGGAGATGACATAAGAGATGCGGCATTAGTGTATTTAAAGAGTAAATACTCGAATAATTGTACAGATTTAACTCAAAATAACCGAGACAAAACGAAATCTGCGATGATTTTGTATTGGCTTTGTAATTCTACTAAAATACAGAGACTGAGTTTCTTAACATGATGGCATACTGCTTTAGATCCACACGTACTAACTGACAAACCAAATGAAGACAGGCTCATGTACAGACAATGTGAACATTTACATCGACAATAGAACAATTAAACATTAGAACATTACGAACATAAACAAACGTGAATATTTCCATTTAAGTACTCACTTAAATGAGATTCCCATATGCACTTGATATGCAGTGACCCTTCGATACAGTAAAGTATGTTAAAATGTGCACTTCAGAATCACATTCTAACATCTGACACTTGGAACCTTTGCTGCCGTATGAAGAGCTTAAAAATGCAAACCATAACTCAATATTATGCTTTATTAAGCTTTCCCCCTGATCATGCGGTACAGCTATGTATAAGGAGCCATTCCCATGAGCTTAGCCTTGATCGGCAGTGATGGAGGTGCGGGGTGTAGGAGCAGGCTGGTGAGTGGGGGAGCTGATGCAGAGGAGCCACGACGGGCCTGGTAGTAGAGCCTGTGAGAGAGAGCACTTCTGCAGGTGGAAAGACCCTCTCCCTCCCTAAAGCCCTGTCTCCCCCACGTCCTCCCCCTGGCCACTACAGAGAGAAGGTGTGCAGTTTGTACCTTAAGAGTGTTGTGAGAGTTTATACTCCGCCTACGGCCCTCCTCCAGTTGCATCTCAGAGTAAAGGTCCTCCTCGTCCTCCTCCATGATGTCGGACAGGTCAGAGCCCCGGCTGCTCTCCGTGTGGTACTCCTCGCTGTGGCTGTAGTGTTGATGGTGGGACTGATGGGAAAATGAAAGAGAGAAGTTAATAGAGTTGAAAAGGAGAATATTAAGTAACAAGTTTAACTTTTTAAATGTTATCCTTTCAGTTTGGTGGACTATTTGACAATAGTCACCATTACCAAGAAGATAAAGAAAGTGTCTACAATCAATGATGTCACCTTAAGACTTGGACAACTTCACACTCGTATTGGCTGGCAAACCCACTTAATTCCCTTTATCTATCAATACTGATAAATGTCTACTGCGATGATCACATTCTGAATGTGGTGTGCTGTTGAAAACTCTTGTATAGCTACACAATTTGCACTGAAAGTGTAATTCAGTTTTTCATCTTATTTTTTTAGATAAGATCACAGATGCAGGAACACTCATTAAGATGGGCTTTCATTTGATATGATGGGATGGGAATTGATTTAATTAGTACGTACTGATTGCTTTGTTCTTAAAAGAAAGTGATACACATTGTCTAAACACAAAGTACCTGTCTCCCCAACTCTGATCCTCTGAGGAATTCATCCACGGATGCTCCTCTTCTCCTCGCATGAGGAGAGTCGTAGCCATCCTCCTCCTCATCAGAGTTGACTGGATGCAAAGCGTTACCTCGCTCACTAAAGATATTCCTTTTCTCAACCTGATAACAGAGATGTTATTTTGATTTAAAAAAATTATTAAGTATTGTTACCTTCCTTCAATCCTTTTTCCCCTCAATTTAAGTGAAAAAAAAAGTCATCTACATTTTTTCTTTTTGATTTTCTTTTTCTAATATAGCTCCATATTTTTTTCAAAAGAAAATTAAACCAATACTTTTTAGGATCATGGTTATTGTACAATGACATTCAGGCTGTGGTCCCTTTATGTTCAGAATGGAAAAAATAGGGGAAATAAGCATTATTACATAACCAAGCAAAAATCTTGGCTTATTTCTATCACATGTTGATATGAACACTTTATTAATATCCACTGCTACAATTGATATAATGAAAGCCCTACGCACCCGGTTGCCCTCGGCAAACACTCTCTGGGCAGCTTCCCGTGCCATGGCCTTGGCGATGGTGTTGGGGATGGGGGCTCCCTGAGGCTGTGGCAGGATCCTCTGAGGAGAGGGCGATCGCCGTGGCTGGAAGTGAGGCGGCTCCAGGTTGGGTCCCCGCATGGGGGGCAGCGGAGAGGGGGCTCGCTCCCAGGGCGGGGCTGTCCGCATTCCCACCTCATGCTCTTTGGTTTCTTGCTCTCTGGCACTTACTAACGGTGTGGACTTGGGCATGGGGTGGTGCGGGAAATGAGGAGGGGGTTGGCAGACGGGCTGCGTGTGCGGCTGTGTGTGGGGCAGAGTGTGGGGCTGGGCTCGAGGCAAAGGCTGCACCTGGGGCTGAGGATGATTTGGGGGGTATGTTGATGGGTAAGGAGGGTGGGACTGTGGGTGGGACATAGGATGGGACGGCGCAGTGGTCCGGTGGGAGAGGCGTGGTGAGCCCAAGAGATTGTTCGGGATGACGGCCACGGGCGAGTCCTGTGACTCTCCCTGTGTGGATAACGTCCTTACAATGATTTCCCTGGCCTCCAGACCCTGAATCCTGTTCAACTCCACAGTCACATAGTCAGCTGTGGGGTATAGGACTTCTGCTATCTGTATTCATAAAGAGAACCAGATTATCAAAGGGCATTTCAGAATGTAGCATGCAGAAGCACTTATTGTGTTACCCTTCCATCAAACAAACTACATGCTTTTCTAGCTCTCATACGTGTTGGCTGAAGAGAAAGACCTGATAATTAAAAAAGCTGCATCTCAAAAAACTGTTTATGGTTAAATTTGCACTTCGCTGATTTTGGTTTAAAATGTACCTGGACACTATCATGGTTGATAGACACCTTTTTGCACACACACAAACAAAAGCTCCCTGTGAAAGAGTGTCTTACTGACACATCATCATGGAGCCTGTTACAGCTCTCTTTTTTTAAAGTGATATCTTAGGTGATGCTGGACCCTGGGGGGATTTCAGCATTATATCATTTCACCAGGAGATGGCAACAGAACACTACTCATAGAAGGCACCATTCAGAAAAGCAAAGGCTACCTTTTCTAAGAACTCTATGGCAGGATTTAGAGAAAATGTCTTGTTCTGACGCTCGGTACCTTTTGTCCCTTTGTGCATACAGCATAGCCGAGCACACTGGCCCCGTTGGAGGTTCCTGAAGACGTCAGAGGTGGCGGCTTCCATCTGACCTGCAGAATCCCCGGCGTATGACCACACTGGACCTGCACCTCCTGGGGAGCAAGAGGGGGCCCTGGGGAGCACAACACACACACTGGGTAAGGAGAGAAAGAAAGACAGCTCAACAACCATCACTGCCATGATCAAAAAAAGAACGTACTGACCTCTGTACTGTGAACTTCCCAAAGTACCATGTCAGAGTGGTATGAAATAAGGCCATTCTCATATTTGGGTTCTCACATCTAGCACCGTTTAAAGCCTAAACTCATAGTAATACCAAGAATTGTATTAAAAACATTAATTATAAATTGTTCAAAAGGCATTCTTGATTTTACTGATGATGATTGGTATGATATATATGTGCTATGTTGCATCTAGCCAGCTGAATGTTTATTATATTCAAATACTTATTTGTAGAAGGATTCTGGAGGCTCGTCTCTGCATGTTTATGGTATGGATCATGTGATTCATTCATATGCGTATTGGGTGCAGGGGGTTCAGTGTTGGAAAGAGCCACGTTTGCCAACATGAAGCCATCAATGTATGTACAGCAATATCCTGTTGCCAGATTTTCGCTGACAATATTCTATGGAGCTTTAAAAAAAAAAAAAAAAAAAACAGTTTGCTATTTCCACAATCTGTCAGTGCTGACTGCATACTAAACAACATACCCATCTGTGCAGTGCTGCTGCCCCCCTGCAGTCAAACAGTGAGAAAGAGTGAGCAGATGCAGTCAGCAGTATCTCTGAACCCCAACGTGCAGCTGTTTGTGTGTCTGAGAATCTCCATCAACACAATCTTAATCACATTTCTACACTGGCTGTCAGCAGACAACAAACACACACACACACACACACACACAATATTGGAACAGCAGCAGTGGTTGTTTGGAGATTTCATTTCCTCTTGTCATTATTAAACCACGCCTGTCACAAACAACAAGCTCTTCTGAGAACAGAAATGAGTGTAGTAATGCATATTTCAGTGATTATACTTTCATTCATTCTGGACACAAACGGTAGGCACTGAGTTGTTTTGACTATCACTAATATTTATAAAAAATGTTGTAACCTAAGAAGTCATACATGCTCAATGTGAAAGCCTCCAGACAATGTCCTCCTTATTGACAGCAGTCCTACGCCAACGACTCTGATACTATTTCAGAAGCCTCTAATTAACATGTTCAATAGATAGATCATTTAATGAACTCTCAGCATGTAGGCTCATCAGCTGCCAACAGACAATGTCAATTCAATCTTCAGCCTCCCCCTCTCCCCTCTTTCTCTCTCAATACCTCTTTGTCCTGTCATTCTTTCAGTCCCTTTCAGGCTTTTTCTTTCCATCTCTGGACTTTGTGATTTCTCTGTTATTTCAGGTCTTTGACTAGTGTTTTGTACGGCTTGCATCTTACCCTGATACCATAACAACAGGAGTTTTGGTCTTCTATTTATGTTGAATAAAGCAAAGTCAAATACAAAGCAACAATATGACATATCTGAACCTTATTTTTTTCTGTACCAACAATGGCTAACTACACTGTAGCTTTAGTTTTTCCACAAATAAAACAATACATGTAGCTTGCTGTGGAGACACTTTTAAAGATTTTCTTTAGCTACACTGTCAGGCTGTGAGACCCAAGCTAGAGCTGGCAACAGCAAAGCATCACTGTGCCTCATGGGAGAAGCAATCCCAAAGATCTAAGCTCACTATTTACACTAATTTGGCTTCGAGAGGCACTGTTTTCAGTCGGTATTAAAGCTCCATTCAGCAAATTCTTCTTCCATGTTTCTCATTGCGCTTTCCTTTTTTTTGTTTATCTACCATGCGTGTGTCTTATCGCATTAGTACACACACAAATCCTTGAGGGCAATCTAAAAGTGGCTGGGGAAAAATGAAAATGGCGATGGAGATGTTTGTCAGGTTTGTAAATGTAATAAGCTTGAAGCGTTTGGCTGAGTAAATAAAAAGATTGCTGTGTTGGATGTAAATTATCAGATGGCTTTCATTTTGAAATATCAGATGACTTTGAAACCGAATATTGGACTACAAGAACAGCAATCAAATTATCAGGGGGGGGGAGCAATGTTACCCTTTTATCATAAATACACCTTTCACACCATTCGTACATACCGACACCAACAAAACTAAGGCTTTGATACAGTCTGGGAGCATTTTGCTTCTAAAGGGCCAGGTATTCAAGAGAGATTAAAGTAGTTGTTGCTTTACATTTTACATTTGCAAAAACCCTGCTGTGAAATGGCACCAAACTTTGGTCATAGTTGGTCATAAACTGAAGTGTTGGACAAAGCAGGAGATAACCAAGACAACTAGTTATTGGAATTCATCCTGAGGGGGATATGAATGACTACCACATGTCATGGCAATGAATCAAATAGTTGTGCAGATAGTAAACAATAGTGAAAACGTGATGGGTTTTATCGGAGTCATAAGAAAACCTCATATCTTTACCAAGGATATGCTCTGTATGTGTGCATATTTGCAATATTTCTGCCTTGAACAAATCAGTGGCCCAAACAAACAATCAATAGACAATGGCAATGCTAAAATCGTGCTAGCTAGGCTTAAAATATCCCAGTATATCTAGCTGCATTAGGGTTGTTTACTGAAGTGTTAATGTGAGTATTGTTGTGGAGGCTGACCTGCAGGCTGAGTGCAGAACTCCACAGAGATCTCCTTCTTGTCCCTTTGATCTAGGGTAAGCTGCCAAGGCACCTGATGCGGCTGCGCCACAACCTTCACCTTGTAAACTGTCATGGACTTCAGGTTGAAGAACTTGTACTTATAGCCCCCCGCCTTGACCATGTCGTACTCTGCACCATTGAGGAAGATGGTGTGGCTGTAGTTGCTGCTGCTTGGCATCCAAGAGAGCTCAGCAGAGACCTGCGAGATGTTGTCCACCCGCAGGTAGTAAGGTGCCACCACCACGTCCTTTCCCACGAGCAGAGTGCAGCGCAGCTCGTCCGACGGGCCCCGCTCAGTGATGGACTGCACCGAGATACGGTATGTGTTGGTTTCCAGATTGAGCTTTTCAAGAAGAGACTTTGTCCTGCCCCCGTAGGGGACACTCATGCGCAACTCCTTATCCACCAAGACATTGTAGCCACTGATGGAGCCCCAGCCCGGCGGGACCACAGGAGGATCCCAGCTAAGAATCAAACTCTTGGCTAGTTGTTTAATCAGGTTGATGCGGCGGGGATAAGGCACAATGTCTTCACCGACCTCGTCAATGTTGACATCCAAGGTTCCTGTCCCGTTGCTAGAGGAGCCCAGGAGGTCCATGCCCAAGCTGCTGGTGCTTAAACAGTCTAGTCTGTCAGACAACAGTCGGCTTATGCTCGTTCCCGCTCCTGTGCCGACTTTTAGTCTCTGAGCCCCCAGGCTACTGTGGTTGAGGTAGCCAGGTTCTTTAGCCACTGTGTCCTTGTGTTTGACAAAGGCTGAATCCTCATCTGCGACAGACTCCACAAAGTTGGATGGGACGAGTCCCCGCTGCCCGTCCAGCAGCTCTCCTGAGAAACAGACAGCAGAATGTTGGCATTCTGGTGGTATAAAGAACAAAAGATGAAATACCAAGACAGGTCAGACCTTCGTAAAAGCCATCCTCATCCATTGGCCCGTAAACGTAGAGGTACTTCCCTGCCACCAGGGGGAGCTCTGCCTCAGGATGCTCGTTAGGCCCGTCATAAGGATTGTAACTACAGCGAAAAAAATAAATTAACATTTTAACTGTAGGAGTTATATTTCACATTTTTTAGAAGAGTCTTTCAATGTTAACTACTACAATTTTAGAATATAAATTATTTTTTTGCCGAGTGCTGCTTTAAAATATGTGTGTTTCTATTTTTAATCTATTAATTCAGTTTTCTTTTACAAATATGAGAGAGCTGAGGATAGTGTGGGTTGAAAGCTCTGGCCCTGTTTCACATATTTGTGCTCTGAGAATTCCAATTATTTTTTGTGCTGACAGGTAATTTTCTGTAGAGATAGAAACACTGAATCATCTTTAAGACCACAGCCTAAGGCTCTGTGAGAGAAAGCAAATAATCTCAGCAAGATTTGGCCATGACTTGTCTACACTGAGCATCCACTTCACTTTTCAAAGGTAATGTAGGTAATGGTTTTTTGGCCACCTCTCTGGTTAATTATCAGCCTCTCGTAGGATGTTTAACTGTTCGGGGATTTTGTTATTTTAGCGTATTGTACTTTGAAGATGCTCTGAAACCGCTAAACTGATTTGTTTTACCTGTGTGTAAAGTGTTGTAAATAAAACACTGTGAATGGGTGGGGAATAAGTTAGTGTCTTACTTCACAGTTTATATGTATTATTATAACACTGGTTATTATATGGTCAATTCATTGATGTTAAAGGTAGGGTAGGTAAGTTTGAGAAACCGGCTCGAGATCGCTAGAATTTGAAAATACACAACCGGAGAAAATCTGCCACTTCCTTACAGAGCCCCTCCTCCAACACACACGAACGTGCACATGACCAATGAGGGCACGAGATAAGTTTGTGCCCCGATGGAAGGCTGACAGGCAGGTAGGCCATCCAGTTATTTTAGCCGGGCCGGCTAAAATGATTGGTCGTGCTTTTTACAGTGCTACGGCTTCCACAGATGACATTTTTTTATGGATTTTTTGTCAAAGCACTTAAGATATTCATTGCTATCGGGATGTTAAGAGCATTCCATGGAATATAACAAAAAGTGTATCTCGAGCCGGTTTCTCAAACTTACCTACCCCACCTTTAAGAGAGGTAAACAAAAATAAGAGATGTATCTCTGCATAATGTCAAGAAGATACATGATTGAATGAATATATCTAAGGTAAAACAAGTTTCATTGTGTAACCATCTCCTCATCTCATTTGAATTATGTCTACACGTACCTGTAGCGAGCAATACACAGACGAACCTTCCCTGTGAACGTCGGTTTGGACCTGGTAGTTGAGCCGAGCTCTTTGTCCATCTAGAGAATCCAAAAAATACACCATTTTCAACACAAAAAGGGCATTTTGTTTAAATTGTTTACCCCTTTACTCACCTTGGGATTTCCCCCCCCCAAAGTTGTTACAAACCACTGTCTATACTAAAGGACTACAAAAGTGAGCTTAAAGGTCCAACATTATTTTTAGCTCTTACATTTTGATTTGCCACTTGCTGTTAGCAAAGGTTCACATACAGGATCTTATTAAACTGAGCTTCCTAAATAAAATATTTTGCAGCCCCACATTGTCTTTTTGGATGTTTACATAGTTTTGCCTTAGGCAGCTGTGGGTTTGTTAGGCTCATTTCTTTTAAAGATTTCATGCAGAGTTTGGAGGAGTGCAATAAAGTGAAAGCCAGAAGTTATCCAAACAGACATGATCAGATACCTCAGAGAGGAAGGCCCGTGCTGGGCTGCTGACTCGACCACGAGTGAGGAATGTTGGCTTGACAGAGAGGAGCTCCGGCTTCTCTCCACTGATCTGCAGCGGCCGAATGAACTCAGATATCAAAGATCTACTTGTTGGAGCTTCATTGCCTGTGGAACAAATAACTTCTCCCATCAGATCTTCACTTCACAATGTAGCGGCACTTATATCCGGTACCAAAAAGAGAAACGGAAAGTTTCAGAAAACAAAAGAGTAACCCGACATTTTAACATTGTTTAATGGTACTAACATTATGCAAACAATCAAAAAAGTATTTTATAAATTAAAACTTGAACTGTTGATGAAACATTCTACTTTAAACATTTGTGTGTTAACAAAAACAAGTCAAAAACAAAGAGAACACAAGCTGTCAGCTAGAAGGTGGTGTTTGTTTTCATTAACAGTTTGTGTTGTCTTGATCGGACAAAAATCAATATTACTATTAAAAAAATACATAATGTGGCTATATACACCCAGGGTGCAATTAGCATTGTTCACTGTAGTCACCAAGGTGCAAACAGCATCTGCCATAAGTACATGTTATAATTTATACCATGAGACATATCAACCTTGAAAAAAAACAACATGAAATCAATCGATCATTATTTTTGATATAGCCCAATATCACAAATTACATATTGGCCTCACTGGGTTTTACAAAGTGGATATAATAATAATGGAAGAAAGCTCATGTAGACAAACTGAGGAGGGATCAGTTTCCCAGGATGGACAGACATGCGTTAATAAACTACAATTGGGACATTGACAAACCTTTTCCTATGGGGGCAGCCAGTCCGTTGAGGAGCTGTGAGAGGGATTTGGTGGGCGACCCAGGAGGAGACCCGCACACAGTTAAGGGTTCAGTGCTGAGGATATCAAACGTCCCTGCCTGGAGCCGGAACTTCTCCAGCTCTTTTGACAGGAGGTTGAACTGCTCACTCTGAGAGCGACATTTCTCCTCCAGCTCGCGGACTTTGGCCTGATTGTGGTGAGGGAGGAGAGTCATCAAGAGAGGAGTGAGAGAGACACAGACAGAGAGAGAGAGAGAGACAGACAGAAGAACAGACAGAGAGAGAGAGAGAGAGAGAGACAGACAGAAGAACAGACAGAGAGAGAGAGAGGGACCAACAGCAGAACAGACAGACAAGGGCAAGGAGAGAAAGGATGGGAACAAAGGAAAACAGAAGAAAGAAATAAGGAAACCACAGGATGCAGGACTAACATTTCTGCACACAGACATACTCGAGGACACACAGTACAGTAGCTACGTATAAGATGCTATACGTCTACTGTCTACACACAAATAGAACATGGAATAAGAATTACTCTAAGACTTTAACATGGATTGTTTATTACTGATAAAAACATTTTTAAACTACTTCTGAAAGTACACATGCACAACTACAGTTGATGCTTATTCTACTGAAAAAAAAGAAAAAGAAAACCTCTTGCTTCAAGGCAGTATGCATGTCTTAAGAGCATGAGGCTGGTAATATTTCATAATTTGTCTTATTGTCAAGTAATCTCTTGAAAAAACCAAAACCAACATGAATGTTATCCTATTAACAAATATTGTCGCTGTGGCCTTACAGTATAAAGCTTTCTCCACTGTGTTATAGAGCTCCAAAGGTTGTCATAAACAAATGACAACCCAACACATCAATGAGCCAAAGTGAATATGTTCCTTCATTATGACAAACATAGGCAGTATGCTTTATGTAAGTAAATCCCTCATACTGTACATTATCCTACCACTGTGAGGACTCATTAAAGAGCGTTACAATAATCAGCAGCTGCAAATAATCCCTAGCAAATGCACTATTTACTTCTGTTTGAGCGACGTATGCTAACATCTCCAGCTCAGCTGTTTTAAGGAATCACCTTACCTTTGTACAAAGGATATATATATTTATAATGATACAGAAGATTGGTTTCCATGTTGATTTACTTAATGGACTTTGGGCTTGAGTCACATTCAGGGTAGGGAAGTTAGTAAATATTAGTGTTGCCACATTCAGGGACTTTTAAGGCAATTTCCGGCCCAATAATCAAACATATACAGTAAGGACCCCAAGGTGTTTGAGACATGGATCAAGGTTATTTACTGTTATAACACTGAGAGCTTTTATAATAAGAAGTAGCAGTGTTTACAGAAGCTAACAAACAATATAAAAATGCCTTAAATATGTGATCACTTCTTGTATGGGCTGTAACAGGGATGGAAGGGTTTTTCTAGACTATGAGAACAATAATATATACACACAACAATAGATTGTATTTGTTTAGTGATAGAAGCAAACACTTGTGGGAAAGCTTAGTAAAATGACCTATATATCTATTCTTGCTAAAAAGATTTACATTTGAGCATGTTCAATAACCCATGGGCTCTTTAAACCTTGTTGCTGTCCCCTTAATTTCACAAACATTAAAAGGAATCTCCAAAAGCTATGAAATAATGTTGGTAGTGGTCTTTTTACTGGATTATTCAACAATAACAAATATATTAAATAACACCAGCTGTATACTTTAAGAGCAGGAAACTTGAATGCACAAACTAACACTGACAAACTGAACACACTTGTTTGGGCAGGTATAATGGAAATTCCAGGAGCTTTAGCATTATTTCTTAAGTTGAATGATTGATCATCGAGAATCACTTCTCAACCTCAATCAGTCTGAACCGCAGATGCTCAGGAAACTGAAGCTACCGTGGAATTTATTTCAACACTGCCCAACACACTGCCACACTGCTTCAGCGCTCTGTACGCCGCTCTGTTCAGTTCATTTCAAGCACACAGATTGTTGCTGGATATTACATGCTGTTAGAAGGCACACAACAAAAGGAATCCCTGCGTTTGTCAAATTGAATTAGTCAAATAGGAGGTATTAGTTTTAATTGCATCATACATTTCACAGCTGTATGGCAAGTAGAGCTTTTCAAAACATGCTGAATAATAGACATGCAATGCTACAACGATAAAGCATCACATTCATCACTGGCAATGTGATCCTTTGACAACAAAACAGTCGTATACACAAAGCAAAAATCTACTGTATGCAACATTACATCGATGTAATGATTAATACTTATATATTTTAAAATGAAATATCTGCTATACACACTGCAGACTCTTTATTGCAATTTAATTAACCAGTTAACTAGATTTTCCACATTCATTTATTGAAGCCTGATATTTGTATTTGTTCACATCTAAAACACACACTTGTTAACACGTGTTTGATCTTATAAAGTTAAATGTGCACACCTCAACGTGTTGATGGGCTTTGATTATGTGGGATTGAGGTCGGTCAGTGAGGCCCCAGGCATTCCTCTTTAATTGAAGTCGATCCATATTCTGAATCTTTTCATCAATTGTTAAGCGAGTGTTGCTGAATTTTTCTTTATGATCAAGTCAGAAAGACCTCCAGTTTATGCTGTCAGTCATGTTCCAGACTTTCAAAAAGCTCTCCACTTGTGAGTTTGCTTTGATGGGAAATGTGGAACAGAGCTGAGTGGGTAGTAAAGCCCAAGAAAAGAAGCAGCCCTGAATATTTCTGAAAACCAAAAAGCAAAGAGCACACATCAGATTATTTCTGAACTGATGTATGCTTTAAGTTACCTCTTCTCTTTTGAGTACCACTTGCATATTTATCGTGTTTATCATCAATACAAAACTTAAATAGATGGATAATTTTGTTTGTAATGTGGTGTTACATCACCATAGCTCCTGGGCTAAAGTAAACATGGGGGTACAGTAGACCCTTATAGATTACACTGGGAAAGGTGTAAGAAAAGATCAAGTAAATAAATAAAAACAATTCTGAAATACCTGCATGCTGTCCAAGTGGTTCTGTATAAGCATAAACACACACCCATTCAGTAAAAAGAGATGTTGGAAAGAAATAAAGCACAATTACACATTTGATCACTCGTACATATCTTGAAATGACTGTCTGCAATGCACTCACACATACGCATCACCTTATTACATTACTTTTAGATTGTAGATGAATTAACAGATAGATATTGGCAGACTGTGACCATTATTCTTTACATTTCTGAAAAACAGACTATTTACACAACTCTGCTACCTGCCTTACAAGTCAGTTTAATAATGTTGTAAAAATAAATATATACACTCAGCCCAGGATTCATATCTTAAAATATGAGAAGTAAAAATAAGAGTCTAAAAGGTTAAGGTGGAGAGGTGAATAAGAGCAGGAAATGGCTCTAGGTATACACAGGTCTGCCCCGGGGCTGACTAGTCCCTCACCCTCCAGCAGAAACCACATAAGCACACACAGTCCCCCCCCCCCCCCCCCCCCCCCCGAGAGTCCAGACGCTCACCTCTAACAGATGGACAGCGCCTTGATGTTCCTTTTTTGCCTCAACCTGAGCCTGGGAAATACAGGGTGCACTGTTTCAGTTCACTTTTACTTATATTGCAGTTAAGTTTCAGTTTAAAACACCAATGAAAAGCCCTTTACATTCATTGGTGTTCAGGGTGAAAACGGTTTGAAAGAAAGCCACCATTTATGTCGACACTTTGCGAGGCCAAGATAAAACCTTTTCCAACAGTGCCTTATATCTGAGGGTGACTAACTTAACCACGACCAACAGAAGAATTGGTGGATTTTTTTGCACCGTGTTCACCATTTTATATTTTATGTTCTTTTTAAAGCTTACTTAATTGTCAAAACAGTGAGTTATTCAACATAAAACAGTTTTGTGCATGCAAATAAGTGCATATAATCAAGGAAGCATTTGAAAGTCAGTTTACTACACTTACCTGTGAGCACCACTTGCCTGAGAGCATCACAACCAAAGATCTCAAACTAGAAGTATTTACATCCAGTCAACAAATAAATATCTTATTTGGGTTTTAACAAACCTAGAAATGATTTCATTTTCTATAAAGGCTCCTTCTCCGGCTATAACCACGGTTATAACCCTAGCTATAAAGCTGAAACTGGCTTTTTTCTTATAAAAAGGAATAGTTGACCTTTACATTTGGAGAAGTATGCTTATTCGCTCGAGATTGACACCACTGTCATTCCTTTAAAACATAAATCTACAACAAGCAACTGTTGAGTCAAGCCCTACACAAAGACTGCTATCGGGGGAAAAGAGTATCTGTCCAAAGTGACCAAATATCCACTTAACAGCACCATTTAACCTCACATACATTGTATATATCATTTGTTTATTAGTACTAACAACAACAACAACAATTTTAAAAGCAACAACTCATCCTTTTTTTGGACAAGTTATTTGCGAGGGTTTGCTTTGATTAGTTAAGAGGCAAGTAGAAGAGACTTCTGGAAGTTGCTGGTGCCAGCCAAGAAAAAGCCTGACTCATATCACGGCCAACTGTCAACATGTCAGTAAAGCTCCAGCAGCACTGCTTCCATAATCTACACGGGGAAAGCTGTCATTCTCCAGGAATACAGAGTGTTCAGGCCCCCCACTAAGAAGAACCAAGGTCATATGAGCTTCAGACCCTTCATCTATGCGAACTGTCATAACATTGTAAATGTATTTGTGGCTTTATTAAATATTCTGCTTCAATTTAATGTTCTGCTATTAATTATCTTTATATGATGATTAACTACTGCACATGGTTATTTAAACAATGCCAGGGTGTGTGTTTGAATGGTTGTTTAAGTTGTATCACAGAAAAAAATGACCTAGACGGAGTCTCCGTCGAAACAAACATAATTTCCAACAATTGTTAAATTATGTTCCATAAATAATAAATGAAGGAGGCTTGTGCATTCAAGAGGAATGAGGTTTGGGTATTATAGAACCATTGAACTGCATAGAAACACAACATAATACACGCCATTTTTCTTATGGGAACTAGAAACATCTGTTGAGGAAAAACAAGTGTTCCACATGAATATGAGAGCATCTGTGTACTTTACCATTTCATAAATCTACTTTGCAGGCAATTAATTTAGGAGAATGCAGAGAGCAGCCAGTGTCTGAAGGAAGATAAGGCAGTAATGAGCTTCTGTTAATGAGAGAAAAAAAGCTGAGAACTCTGCCTGTGAAAGGCTGACTGTGAAGTTAGAGCAACACTGCAGCAACAGCAACACTGGGGCACACAAACTGATTCGAGAGAAAGCTATGGTGACAATTCCTATCATGTTCACACTATCAGCCATCTCAGCCATTGCTGGGCTTGCTTTGACATTAGAGTCAGCTTCAGTGCACAGAGGAGGAAGCCCGACCATCAAATGGCCTGGGCCAGCATTTTTCCTTTAAGCAAGCCTCTAAAAAGTGTCATATCTACTTTGGGTTTTGAATGTCTGATTTGCTTGCTCGTAACAAACAAGAGGAGTGCTTCTCAAATGTTGAGCACTCAGGGTTTGGAGAGTGATAGACAGCTGAAGGGTGGGGATAAGAGGATGCACTGGGAGAGCTCTCGTGGTGAAAATATTGAGAGAGGTGAGTGCTACAGCTTATAGTTTCTCTCTTTGCTCTGCTCTTTATAATACAGCCTTTCAGTTGACTTTCACCTTTGTTGGACTGTACCGCAGCTCAACAAAAAGCTCTTTGACTTGTGACCCAAACAAGAAAGCCCAAACCTCTGGTGCTGTGAGTGATTAGTAACCTGAGCTCCCTTACCTTCTGAAGAACTTCAATCTCCTGCTGCTTTGCATTGAGTACAGCCAAGGCCTGCTCATGCTCCAACTCTAGCTGCTGCCTCCGCTCTGCAGCCTCGCGCATATGCTGTCCGCAGGGGGTGCAGGGGTGGAGAGCCAGGAGGGGGGTGGGTTTAGAGGAGGGGGGGTAGAGAGGGCTGCTGTTAGTGGAACTAAAACATCCAACAACACTGACCCAACACAAAATGCATCTCAAGTCTTCAACTCCACAATAAGAGACAACACAGGTGTTACACACACATCACACATACAGAGGCTGTTAACAGTGTAGTGACCTTTAAACCCTCAAAAACAAGGAAAGACATAAACTATGCCACAGCAAGTGTCATGTGAGGACAGTTTATGTTCCATGATCTGCGAGAGAGATCTTTTTGTGCACAAAAGGTGCCTATGGACGAGGACTAGTGATGCTTTGCTGTGTGAACAAAAAAAACATACACCAATCCACAGTCAGGTTTGCTGCCCCCTTTAGGTAACACGATACCTGTGACAAGTCAGGTTACTGTTTTAAAAGCTGTCCTCAGCGATGTGGTCTTCACATGATCAATACAGGGTTTCACGTTACATGAAAAGGGTGAGCAAACTCCGTAGCGTGCTCGTACTCGTCTGTGGTCATCCAGGACAACAAAAGAAGCCATACAATACAAGGACTGAATGCTAGGCTCTTCATAACACAATTTGCCTGTGTCATCCAGTGTCATCACTGCTCCCACTACTATGTGAATACATTGTGACATTGTCAGGTGAGAAAAGCAAATGACATTTTCATGCCACTATAAATTAAGGTTTAAGATAGGTAATGTCATCAAACTTGTGGGTGACATTATCATCATGAAGGGTGACCCAGTCTCCCTTTATCTCCTTTTACAACCCCTCCCGTCATCATACAGCCAAACTCCTTGTCCTGCCTCATGCAAAAAAAATCACATTCAACGGTGCTGTGGTCATATAGCCAGGTGACCATTCGTATGTCTTGTATGCAGCACACGGATAAAGGGACAGATAAGCACAGCCATTGAGGTGGACAAAAGCATTCAGAATGGTATTGAATAGGACTACTCCCTAGCAGATGGACGTAGCAGTGATACCTTATAAATCTAGCAGGGGGAGAAGGGGAAAGGGGAGGTGGGGAGGGAGAGTAGGACGACATGAAAGGGTGGAATAGGAAAGGAAAGGAGGCGGGGGGGGGGGGGGCGGACTGCTCCAAGCTTCTACTCTTTCAGAGCTCCTGGTCAGACATCCCAACACGACACTGGAAGGCAACAGAGATGTCAGGGACATTAGACAGTAAAGCGGAAGATAACCAGATGGAGGCAGAGTAGCACAGGTAGGAGAAGAGGTACGGGCAAAAGGGTTAGGCTCCATTAAAGAAAAACCTGAATAAGAATCCCGGGATGAACGGAGAACCAGAACTAAGAGATGGTGCGGTCAGGTCTACCCTTGGAGCTGGCTTTCTCACCTTGAGCACCTGCTCTAGGTTCTCCAGTTTGCCTTGGAGCTGGTTCCTCTCCCACAGGGCTAAATCTCTCTCCTGCGTCACAGCACCAAGGGTCTCTTTGAGCTGGGCATACTCAGACTTCACCTGTGCAGACAGAACAAGCAAGGAGCAGAGACACTGAGTTTGAGAGTGTAGCTGTACCGTTTACGCTGATTTGAGCCTTTTAAGGAATACTCGCAGGTTCATGATTTTCTTTGTAGATATAGGAGAGGTCTTTCTCCTGTTCCATTCCTGGTTATCCCGTTTTCTTTTACAAAACTAACGTTTAGTAGATTTGAATCTGGAAATGGTCAGATATCGGATTCGCATTTCAACAGTGAATAGAATGCATAACTCGATGGACAATGTTTGCATTTACTCCTCTCCGTTCTTGGAAACACCAACGTTTTTAAGTCGTGAACAGGCTTTTACTGCATGGACTATTTAAAAAGGTACCCTGTGGAGTTTTCTTCTAAATAATTTTTGTTTAAAGTCTGAATGTAAACACTGTGTACATCCTTTAGGATAACACCTTTTTGCATGACTCTCTTTCCACATAAAACCTTTGCACCTGAAACCGCCATGTTTACATCCATTCATTAAATAAGCATAGGAGTGTGAAACCATGAGCAGGAACCTGTACTTCTTCTCCCATGTACTCAAAAAACAAACAAAATAGGGGCCTGATTGTCAAACTAGTGGTGATAAATAGCACAGTGTACCTTTAAAGGTGTCTCAAAAAGAGAAAGAAAAAAGTTTACCATTACCTAAACATACCATGTTGGCAATGATAAACCCATATCAACAGCTTTACATTACACGTCATTGCAGACTATAATAAGTGTATTCACAACAGGGTGGTGGTAGGCAAAAGCCAATGTAGCAAGTGCTGATTAACACTAAGGAACTAAAGATAGAGGGGTGTTACAGAGTCCTCCTTTCAAATAATTAAATACTAATTATATTGTGGTTTATATAACAAGTCAACAACCAGGTGTTTTATATTATTAAATAGCTGTAAAAAATATAGGTAGATTGAGACTTACTGTAACAACAGTATCCAAGCACTAGCACAGTGGCTCATTAACAGTTTGCCAATTGTTTCCTTTTTTCTTACACCCTTCAGGATAATCCAATTCAAAAACACAACTGCTCCGAACTGAATAGAAAATTAGAACCAGGGCTGTTTCATAAAATATGAACAAAAACTGAATACAATACGCTACCTAGATGAACTGTTGGAATGAATTCGATTGAACCGCTGTTCCTATTTTCGTGGTAGTCACTTTTGATTTCAAGCACTTGGCTGTAAAGAACAATTTGCTTTCATGCCACTAAAGCATTCATAGCATTTAAAACAGACAGAAACTGTTGTAACCTGACGTGGGGAATGTCTGGTTTCGGTGATAAAAGCCTTTAAATTTTATAATAATGCAATAGTAACACCATTCACTGACTCCCATGGCTGTAGACCAAAACATTCATAAATTATTCAATCTTTATTGTTAACCAAGCACCAAGCATTCAATTGACTGAAGCAATTGCACATTACATAAAAAATATATAGCACTTCAACACGTATGAGGTCTGCGCTGCCATTATGAACAATATACAAAATGTGACTCTTTCTATGTCTACATATTCTCTATAATCCATCTCCCACACAGTTGTATTGTTACTTAAGAGGCAGGATTTTTCAATCAGCTTTTTAAAGGCCCCTAATCGTCAGCAAGATGACTGGTTCCTGCAGCTGTAATGTGGCAAAGCCGCTTCCACAGAGCAGCCATGAATGACTAATGATTCCTTGAGGAGGGCGTTTCAACAAACACCAGCAAAGCAAAACACAAACAGAAAGCAGTGAGTCTGCCTCTGAAGCGCCCGCCTCCTCACAGCAAAAACTATCCGCATGGATAGGAGCGCCTGTCAGAACTAATGTAGACGGATCGAACGACACTATATTGGATTCAGCAGAAACAGGTCAATAGTATATTATGGATAGAGGGCGGTGCCGCTTGTAGCCCCTCCCACTTCATTCAGAGACGATAGGGATCAGAACACGGGGATGTAAGTGAGGGCTAATATCCGCACCGCCCTGCAGAAAGCTGCTCTCATATTCGTCAGTGTGATAACATTTCAGGCTAGCTGCTCCAGGAGCCGCCCTGGTCCTGATAACACGTCAATACACCAGCATCCCACCCTTCTTCACCCCAACAGCAACTACCTGCCAATCAGCTCCGTTAGGAAATTGCCTTCCTGTCCATAGAGGGAGGCGTGGTGCTCTTTGTTTGTTGATCTGCTCTAACTTTGGGTTATCAGCTCTGAAGGCGTCTGAGGTCCGGGGGCTAAGAGGAAGGTGATGGTGTTTTAATAGAATAGGAGGCTTGTCAATCTATGTAGAATCCTAAGGCGGTTTTGGCTTACAGTGTGACCCAGAAAACATCAGACATCATCTGATAGAGTCTTAACGTAAAGACCCCAGAGGTCGTGGCCTATGAAGGATTGATACCGAGTGCAGTCATGCCAGCAGCTCTGTGGGGCTTGTGCGCAAAACTGAGAGCATGCTAACATGGTGATGTTTTTCTATGTCAAATTTGTACCCCCTTTGTTTAGCGTCTTAGCATGCTATTGCTAATTAGCGCCAAACATGAATTACAGCTAGCGGTGATAGGAGTGTCATTCGTTTCGCAAGTATTTATGAAAAAAAAAGTAACCTTTGACCCGATAGTGGCGCTATATGAAACATTAAGGGATAAACAAAGCTACCGCATTTAATCTTCATTGCAATATGAATGCCTTTACCACAATGGTTGGCGTCTGTCTAATAGCTGTCACTACAGTACATGTCGCTCAAAATCTCTTTGCTGTGCTTAAGGAGTATTTAGGGGGTCACAGAAATCATTAGTATCCTCCCCTGGGAACCATGAATGTCTGTACCAAAACAAATAGGGCAGGTGCTGAACTGAAGGTGAGCTGAAAATGAAAAACAAATAAATAGCTCATACACTGCAAGGCTCCGATGTTCTCACACACACACAGAGACACACACAACACAGACACAAACAAACAAACAAACACACATTCTGCATGTGCAGTTGTGATGGGATAATGATACCTACTCTAGGTGCAATTAAAACTGAATCTGAGACCTGAATGATTTTGTTTTGTTTTACAAACATACACAAAAAAGTATTCAATAGTTTTTTATGTACAGTAGGTATATAGGCAGATATATTTCACTAACGTAAAAACAATCGTCCTCTATCGAGCCATACTGCCAGGATAGTGAAACATGTTTTCCGTCAGATCAAAAGGACCTATACATGCTAAAAGTCATTATGAGTGTAACTGGAGACGCTCCAAGATGTACATCGTCAAACATTTCAAAACCGAGACCTTTTCATCTCTTACCTTCTCATACTCAGATGTCTTGTTGCTACTGTTGAACAAATGGAGGTTCAAGTGTTTGTTCTCATGGAGGAAATCTTGAAGCTCATTCTCCTAGACAAGAGAGGCATAAAGAAAACAAACAGTGTTTAGAAACCAAGAAGTCCCCATTAGATTGGACCAGAGCGCAGCACTCAGACCCAGCATGTTGTTAGCAATAGCCCATGCATCATTTATCTTAGAAGACTGCTCAATGTTCTCTATGTTGTCGAAGCTGCCATTTAAGCCACTACAGTGAAACGATAATAAGTGTTAAAAATGTAAAAAAACTTGATTGTATCTTGATGTATTTAACATGCTGGAATAGTTGCAACAGGAAATCATGAAAAGGTTTGTCTTGAAGCTCTCAGTTAGTGGATGAAAATCAAAGAGCTTCCTTTCACCACACTGAGGGTAAAAATAAAATCCCTTCATTGCCGAGGAGTAAAACTGAATTACATTCAATCCACAGTCGTGAGGCGTACTGTGGATGCAATTTGCAATGTCAACTGGAGAGTTCTCTGAGATGTGCAATCCACTGCAGCTACAGCAGCATGTAGGCCAAGTGTTGTTCTTGTCAGGAGCTAAGAAACCTACTGGCTCATGCATGATACATTTACTGTAAATACAGTGTTCCTAATGGCTAGTGATGGTGAGCCTGCTCCTTCCCCCTCATGTTTTAGTTATGAGGAATGTTTCAGAGGGAGAATGGATACAGCACAGAGTAAAGATTTAGCAAAGAAATGCATGCAAGGGAACACATGTTAACAGATTAGAAAATGTTGTGGTGATGTTTATAAAACATTTTAAAATGAGCACGTGTTGTTTGCTAAATGCACACAAAACAATCAGGTGCTTGTCAGGGCTATAAGTATTTCTCACAGAATACATTAGTCACATCACAGGGGTAAATCATAAATGAAATGATGGCTGATTTACATGATCTGCGTCATTTTTAAGATCCTGTCACTGGGACACTGGAGTATGACAGAGTCATGGTAAATGTCCTTGTGGAGGCACCTTTGCTTTTGCTACTATGATAAGTCCTAATTTCTGCTGTGAGAAAAAATATCTTTGTTAGAAATAAACTCAGCTCTACATGTCGATTGGTGGTGTAAATATATAAATAGTATACTAAGTGTCGAAAAACACATTCAACACCCAAAATTGACAATGCCAAGGTAGCGCCCTGTCGCTCACAAGGTTACCCTGTGGAAGAAAATACTCTACATTACTTTAAGTGGTATCACAGAAGACTTGAACTAGCAACTGAGAGGTAAACTGGTCAGGAACATTTTAACTGAAGTTATAAAACTAAGAGAGAAGTAGGGTCACCTTCTTCTTTTCAGGCACAGAGGTTGCTATATTTTATACAGAATCATAAGGTGTAATAACATTAGAATGTTATTAAAATATCCGGACAATACTTGGAATGTATGACGACAAACATCTAAATCAATATGATATAATTTACTCATACACAAACGATACTGTACTATCAGGGCAGTTACAGATATTATATAAAATACTGGCATTTATGCATCATATCTAGCTATAATGAACATATCCATACCATTTTAAGCATTAATGCCACTACTCACTACTTCTAATAATAATATCAATAATAATGCTCAATTTGTATGTAGACAATACATGAACTGCATGAGCACAAATTCAGTAATCACATATGCACGCCATAGAGGAGAGAACTGTCAAGGACAAGCAGAGATAAGTAAACAACAGCCTGGAGAAAGTACCAAAGTCACACATGAGATCTGCTGCTTTTTTCATTCATTTCATTTCTGTCACGTCCCAAAAAAATTATTGGCATTTCAACCTGCATCAATTGCGTCCAGTCAATTTTAATGCTTCCAGTACAAGCACTAGATTGCATTGGCATTCCTATTCATATCCATTGATCCTTCAATTCGAAGCTAATGTGGGCTGGCTAAGCCTCCAGGTGTTCATTCTGAAGGACACACAGCAACAGAAAACAATCCAGAGAGCTAACATTACTCTGTATGCACACTGAGAAGAGAACAGTGGACTGAAATACTTGTAAAATGAAAGCCTGTTGTTGATTGAAGCATTTAAATGATCCGCCATTCTCATATAAAATCTTCTTTTAATTATTTGGGCGAGACGGCACACATGTAGTAATGCAAAACCAAATTGTCTTGAACACAGAGAATCAGCTGTTTCTTTGTCCTGTACTGTCGACGTGTTAACGCTTTAAAGAGATCAGTATACGTCATAATCCCTTGGCAGGACACATTTTTATGGAGAGCCTGTGAGCCCAGCGAGGGAGAGAATCCCATGCAGAATAAATTGTGGCCTACATTGAGCTGCCTCCAACATTATTCAGCTGAGGTTTTCTGCTGAGGTGCGATTAACCATTTGAGACTTGCTTTGAATACTAACACAAATGTACAAATAAAATGTACGCACCCTAGATTCAGTTTGATTAATGAGCCGTAATGCTTTAGAGACTGGGAAATAGTAAAAAAAAAACAACTCCATCATATGAACAGAAAGTGTAACTGATAAGAAATAGGACGTCATTGACCAACATACATGTGGTTAAGTGGAATTAACTATATGCAATTTGTCATTTGTAGGAAACAAATCAACAAAAAAAGGTAATATAAAACACATGATTGTAAACAGGAAAGTGTTATATATGTTTTAGATGGATGGATATATAATACACCATCATATGTATAGGCCTGGGGTGTGTCTGAGCAGTGCAGAGGCAGTTGTGTGTTTAGCCCAGACATGATCTGACTCAGCCTGTTGTGTTAGAGCAGTGTGTTTAATTTTGACAAGCCTGACAGATGAATCAACTCCGCCATTTAACACCGGAGCAAAGCAAACATTTCATCCACTTACCCCCTGCTCTGTAGACTCAGTGCAAGCAGCATCATTTGCTCTGGTGCAGCATAGACAACCGCCATGATCACAAGCGGTGGTAACATGGACAATATTTCTTTAACCAAATTGAAATATTTGTGTTTAGAAATTAACTGTTTACATGGAAGCTGAATTAAGTGATCCCATAACATTTGCCTTTCCATGTATCAAAGCATTTATCAGAATGTAACAATTTGTCTTGCACAATGCGAATCGGCCTACTGTAAAGTGCTTAATCTGCTGTAAATACATCAGAAGAAGAAGTGTTTTTTTTGTTTATTGGGACAATTCAATTCATTCATTGCTTATTGATGGAGTATAGAAGAATAAGAAGTGGATCTGCCTGTTAATAGATAGATTATAATATAACTTTCAAGATGGACCCACATTGTGTCCTGGGAGCAATATTTGCTTTCTTGCAGTTCTTTCTAATTAAGCAGCAATCTCAGCAGCACACACTTCTCCTGCAGTCTTTAAACAGGGGAGAGTGCCCTGGACTCCACCGGCGCAGCTGGAGCCGGAGATGATCTTTATAATTATGCACAGGATTTTTGTCTAAAAACATAGCCACAAATCTTGAAAATTGTTGTCATTAATTGGACTATATTAACTATGGTAAGGCTACAGCACAGGAAACACACTTTTAACAGCAGCAAAAACATATAAAATACATTGTTATAGCGATTGTATACTGTCTGTTTGTAACATTGAATTTTGTGGGTCGAAAACCTTAACTTATACAATTGAGGAAATGTGAAGATGCCAAAAATGTGATTCAACTGTTTCCGGATGCACAGTCGAACTGTATTGACTCCCGCTGCATTGTGTAATGTAAAAGTACATACAGGGCCGGCCCGTAGCACTGGCGTTATAGATGTTCGCCTAGGGCACCAGATCTGGGGAGGCGCTGTGCTGGTAGAAAAACATTTTTGACCGTTGGCGCTCATCCTAATTTTCGGCCTTGATGTAACAATATTCATAATTAAGTCAATGTAACACCCTTTTCACCCCGGTTACACTTTTCATTTGCCCTGCATGTACGATGGGCGCTGTAAGTGATGAAAATGGGGGATGTTGGCTTATCAGGCGCCCGCAGCTCACAGCCAAAATGCGAGTGAGCGAGGGAGAGAGGGAGGGCGCCCCGGTACCGGCGCTGTTGTTATTAGAATCTGGTGCTAGCTGCTCTAACGGATATAAGAAGAAGATGTTTCTACAATAATGTGGAGGGAGAGTCCTCTCCAGTCAGACTGAGAGGCTGATAACTACAGCTCAGTGAGGTAAAGGACTGAGTGTTTAGATAGTTCACTTTAGTCTAAGTTATCTCAGTGGGTCTCAAACGGTTTGATCACAATTTATGTAAACAAATATTTTCCAAGGCACACCTTTATAATTAATGGGATAAACAGGTTTGAAATCATTCCAATGCATACTATAGGACAGTAAACCAAAAATATTGTTTAAAACTGGAGATATTCAAAAAGATGCATGAATAAATAAATGTTAACTAGGTCAAATAAGGTATGAATGAACAACAAAAATAAAATAAGTTACATTCATTTGTTATTGGCTATGGTAGGTTGTTGGTTATGTTTGCATACTTATTTGATTAATAAAATGTAAACTGGTCTTTTTCATATGGGTGTTTAGAGTTGTACCCCCTAGATCTAGTAGTAATTGCTCAAAGGGCATACCCCCGGACCCCCCTAGAGGATGTGACGTCCATCCCCCATTCTATTGTGTATTCCTTGGATACTTTATTGATCTTTATCTTTTCTATTGTACGATTCTCTGGCTGGGGCGCCAGCTCAAATCTCGCCTAGGGCTGCAAATCGTCTAGAGCCGGCCCTGAGTACATACTGCATTTCCCTTACACTGGACTTGTGGTCCTCTGTATATCGTTTAAGCTTAAGTGCCCCTTAAGCACTGTCCTCCATGGTGCACACATCAATAAAACGACTCACAAACATCCAGTTCAAGGCCATTTCGAAGAGTTGCAGCACATTGACAGCGTGCAATCTGATTTAACCGCACTGTGCAAAAAGCTAAACTAAAAAAACATGTCGAAAAAAGGAGACATCTTGAAATTGATTTCTGACATTTGTGTTTTGCATGCCATGTGTCCAAGTACTAAGAGCTGCCAATCTCGCCTTTGACAGAAGGTGTTGTTGCTTACCACAGCTCCTCATGAAAGTTAAGCCGACAATGATGGAAAGCATTTCCACGGTTACTGATCTCAACTTGAGAGCACAGCTCCACAGTCCAGACTGAGGACCTGTTGAGTCTGCCTGCTGACTGCCTTAGTGGTAATCTTCGATTAGTACCGATACAAATTTGAGCTACGCTGGCATAGCTGATGCTTGTCACCATGGTAACAGGCATATAATGCTCGGAGAGCAAACTCCTCTGATGGTCTGTAAATATATACCAAACACACAGGAAGGTGGAAGTGCCAGATGGCTATGACAGTGTTTACCGTCACTCACACACTCAGTGTTTATACACTTGACGTATGAATTCTCTATGAGGAGACATTTAATTAATACTAGCTAAAAGTTTAAAAGCTTGGCGAGAAAATTACCTTATTTATTCCTGAATATTGCTTTCGTTGTTAACCTAATATACTATTAAAATACACCATCAGAGCTGTCGCTAACATCTGAACCTAATTCTGTACGTGCACGCTTAAGTATTACCTGAGAAGGAGAACAACTGAGGAGAAACTGAGAGGTGAGCCAGTTAGACCCAAACAGGGAGTGACATTACTGTCAACCCGCCATCCCCTCACAACAGTGTACGTTGGTCTAGTCTGTGTTTGCGTCTCTGTTCTGGAAGCTCAGTGCAGGCGGAGATAAGAGCTGTGCTGCAGTCTGTGGAGACCAGCCTGCCATTTCTGCACGCCATTTGGGGACACGTTGTCCTTTGGGAAGCTTACCCCGGACTCAGCAGGCTGACAATGGGCAAGGAGGGAAGTGCTGCTGTGGGCAGGGAATGTTAGAGGAGGGCAACTAAGAAAGAAAGTCCTAATGGAGTGTTTATTTAGGGCAGAGAGCCACACACAAAGACAGCTCATCTTAAGAAGAGGGCTTGGGGGCATGAGGGAATGAATTCAAATAGTCTAGGACCAAACAGTGCCATTTAAATTACTGTTGAATCTCTCCAGCTCCTGCCTTTCAGAGGAAAAAACTCACTCCAGGCCATCTGTACTACTCTTTGCCTGCTTCTGCTCCTACAGGTTACACACACATGTACTTTATAGGCTGACTTCAACATTCATGAAGCAGCTTTTATAACACTTACACAACTCCCTGACTGTATTGTTTTTCTTTTTTTCCAAACTCCCAAACCACAGAGTGTAGGCTGACAAATGTCTACACTTACATATTCACTAAAACTGGAGTGAATTGAACTGAAATGTAACTCAGCATTTTGCTGCAGAGCCCATTGGGAGCCCACTTTGAGAACAACTGCTGGAAAATCATAGCAGTGAGATGTCACTTTCTCTCAGAATAAACTCTAACAATAGCTGGGTCTTCATCTCAATAGAACATAATATGAAGTGATTAGTTATTCTACTTAGTGGGGCTCCTGTTACTATAATTGTAAAACCCCTCAGACGAGAACCATCCTATAAACTTTATTTGTGCTGTGATATATAGCTCTGATATATTCTTGCTGTGAGGCACTGATATAGCCGGAGAGATCCTTCTTATTTAAGGAAACCCACTACAATAAATACAACATAGCAAGGTAAAAGATTGCCACGGCTGGTTAACGGTAACTTTAGTGTTTAGTTAGCCTTGCTTTAACTGCAAATGCTCAATTCTTTAGCACCACATACAAATACAAGTTGAATACACACAGTTGTCTGCAACCTAGATAATTTCAGGCAATCCAAACTCTTCTGTACACAACGTCAACTGCCGGTCTTAAGCCCTTTACTCCAGTCTATCAGCTTCCTGTCTTCTGATTCTTCTTCATTGTCGTACTGTAGTAGTGTATTACTATCATATATGGGACTTTATTGCATAAACAATACATGGAATCCACTGATCGAATCATTACTACAGCAGAACTGGAGGTCAAAGACTCCACAAGGGGCCTACTGTAAAGCTTATTTCCCTTATATATTGTGCACATATTTGTTCAAATATTTGCTAAATCAACAAACTTGCTATGACAACCAGTCAGTTGGCTGAATGATCTTAGCAATAGTCAAGTCAGTTCAAAAGTTTAGTAAGCTAATATGTCAAGATGAGATGAGACATGCAAAAGAAGCCTGTCCTCTTATTTCAGCTGGTTCTCGCCACCTTATGTTTTTTTTCCGTTCTCTTTGTCTTTTGTCCTCAGTGAAGGCCACTCCAGCCGACAGAATGACATTTCTGGGGCACTGTGAGAAAACGTCCCGCAAAGGGCATCAAACGCCATACAAAAAAATACAAGACATGTGTTACATATCTCTGACCTTAAACAGTGGTGACCCATTACTTGAAAACACACATGGTGATGTGTATTGTTGCAGCAGGGTTGTAAAGAGCTCCATGAGCTAATGGGTGCACACATGCAAGAAACGAATAGCCACAGCATGAGGATCATTTTATACATCATATAGTGCTATACGCTGCATCTCTTCTGTGTTTGTGCATGATAACACACACTGCAACACTTACTGCTAAAGTGTATTTCTCATGGTTAAATGCATTTTCCCATGCTAACAAAACCCAACCCACAGATACTGCAACTAGCCGTTAACTGCTCCCATTTTTCAATTCCAGTCCTGGCCGCCTGAGAAACAAGCTATCATTACAGGACCCCGCCACTCATTTGCTATGGGGACGTTTGTTGTGTGATAATAGCGGGCAAGGCTCTCAGGTACAAATCAATTTTAGCCTCCGTCCTATTGCTCAGAGGCCCGCGTATATTTTTGGAGCACTTACCAAAGTCTGGCATGTTTGATTCTTTTTCTTCACCTCCGCCTCAAGTGCTTCACACTCCTTCCTTCTGGTGCCGATCTCAGTCTCCTGGGGAGGGAGAGAAGAGCAGAGGACAGCTACTAAGGTTTGTCAGGAACAGAAGCTTCCTAAGAGAACTCAGTGGAACTAGGCAGGGAAATAGGGAGCAGGAACATTTCATTATTCAGCAGTGTTTAGGTGTGTGAGTGTACGTGTGTGCGTTCCTGTGTTTATGTAGGTGTATGTGCAACAGAGACACCAAGAGATTATCTGGGATTATCCGATTGATCTAACAAAATGTTTTGCTGCCGGAAACAAAAGTAGGAGGTTGGAATGATGATGATGCTGAGGATGCAAAATAGGGTGTACTCTAAGAATAATGTGATAAAAAGGATAAAACACAAGTTCAAAGTGGTTGTAAATGAATAAAAAAACGTACGAAATGTTTTCGTTTTTCCAGAAGACATCACTTATTTGTCACAGTAAAACAAGCACAGGTGTAACTAATAACCTTAACGATGGCTCTGTTAGATTTAAGGGTCCCAGTAGGCAGGCGTGCACACAGGCCCATAATTAATGTTATTAATTACAGCTGTGCTTTTTCGGCACGTGTGCTAGGTATATCTTATTTCTTTTCATTTCAAATCTGTTCTTTGCTTCCCTTGCACACCATCACTAAATATGGCATGATCATGTTTTTCGCCTGTCTTCTCGAGGATTTTTTTTGAGAATATATATTTTGTTTGTTTGAATAAATGAGTCTGGAACTGTTTGACAGACATTAACATTAAAGGTGGGGTAGGTAATTCACTTCAGACACACTTTTTGTTATATTCCATTGAATGCTCTTAACCTCCCGATAGCAATGAATACATTAAATGCTTTGACAATAAATACATTAAAAAAATTCATCTGTGGAAGCCGTGGCGCTGTAAAAAGCACGACCAATCATTTTAGCCGGCCCGGCTAAAATAACTGGATGGCCTATCTGCCTGTCAGCCTTCCATCTGTGCACAAACTTATCTCGTGCCCTCATTGGTCATGTGTGCGTTCGTGTGTGTTGGAGGAGGGGCTCTGTAAGGAAGTGGCAGATTTTTTCCGGCTGCGCATTTTCAAATTCTAGCGCACTCAAGCTGGTTTCTACATTCTTACCTACCCTACCTTTAATGACATGATCAAAATTCTACTTTTGCCAAATGCAGAGGTTATACAAGTGTATTTCTTTGAAAAATGTATATTCTGTTTTCAAATTAATAAAAATAAATAAACTGAAACTAAATGATTTATAAATATTTGTACAGATCATGTGGATTGCATTCTTTCAGTCTGTATTCATAAAAGGTTCAACAAGTATCGATCTAACTCATAATATTCCCTCATGATGTTTTAAATGCCTGACATGTCTCCATAAAGCAGCCTTTTAACTGAGCTGACAGCCGAATTACAATAAAAAGAAGTTGAGTTTTCTTCACAATGTGCGATTAGAGCCAATAAATGACTTAAGTCTGCAACAATTTCCACAGAGGACCATTTGTTTTAGTCTGTCAGCAATATTTAGAGAGTTCATCCACACTGGCTCCTCAGTACGAAGACAGCTAGACGTGGGATTTCCTCATCAAAGCTGCCTGTGTGTTCTGCCTTATTGTGGAAATGCCACATATTTTTGTCACTCCACTTTAAATCAGGAGGTGAATTCTTTCTGGCATTCAACAATGAAGGATATACCTATCTGAATAGAGAACAGACACCTTCTTTATGGGCATGTCTTCAATGCATAGCCAACTATTGCACTGCTCTTACAGTACAAAATACACAAAAGTGTTACATCACCAACCAGATCCTCTGTTTATCAGCGGACTGAGCGCTCCATCAGTGTACGAAGAACAGCCTTGCTATGGATGGGAGTGAAAGTGCAGCTGGATGTTCTAAGATTAGCGTATAGAATTAAACAGGATTTTATCTGTGTCAGTGTGAGCTACGAGTGTGCGCACAAACACACACACACGCACACAGCACACACACACACACACACACACACACACACACACACACACACACACACACACACACCACACACACACACACACACACACACACACACACACACACACACACACACACACACACACACACACACACACACACACACACACACACACACACACACACACACACACACACACACACACACACACACACACACACACGGCACCACGTGTCTCTGAGAAAGTCTAAAATAAGCACCAGCGGAGCCACCAGGAGCCCACAGCACACAATATATGCTGCATGTTGGAATGCATGAATGTGCACTTCATCACAGAAACACTCACAGCTCGGTTTAACTTTGAATATATATTGGAATCCATTCAAGTGGAAGACTTCAGCCGGTTCCCCTCTTGACCCGAGTGCCGACAATATCCAATAGGACAGTTAGCAATAAGGCCAGTGAGCAGGACAAACGGAAGGAAATTGAACAAGCTTTGACCTTTTTGAGATCTGTAACCTTGTGGTGTTTCACCCCAGGCAGCTGACAGTGGTATGATTAAATCTTTAAAGCCTTATCTGTTGTATCTGTTCCAGCAGTGATCCTGCTCAACTGTATGTATGTGTTAGCACGCCTTCTAGTATTTCTATCCTGCTGCGTTAAAAACACTCAGATGGAAAGAAAATTGTAAAAAAAACTGTCCTGTCATGACATAACAGATGTCATGATTAAATACCCAATTAAGATTTCAGACACATATCTAGTTGTGGTTTTAGAATTAAAATAATGTGTAGTGGTCTTTTCAAATATGTGTTCTTAGGGTAGTTAGGGTAAGAGTTCGCATTAAGTATGATGTGAATACATTTAGGTTTAAACTGCAATAATGTGGTGTCCTTAACTTCTTGGGAAAACTGTTCAACCAATAGTTGCAGTAGACAATTACAGTGTAGTCATTATCTGTCCTAAAAATGGGAAACCACTGCTGGTGTTTCAGATCATTCTTCATACTTAAGAGATGATTCATTTACTTTTTCAGGTGGGGGAGTTTGTAACTGCAGTTTCTATAGAATCCTTCATTCCTGAAACCCCACAGTTCTGACGAACTAAAAGTCAACAAAACAACATGCAAAGACGATTGACGCAATAAAAATGATGAGAAGGAGGAATAGAAAAGTTCCAAAAACATTTCTTATCGACATTGACTAATGATTTCCTTTGAGTGAATCACAGAGCCTCCGCAGACAGCTTGCCATGTCCCATGTGGGCTGGTATCTAATGTGTGCAGTCCTTAGAACCAGACGGCTACAACACACAATGGATTTTTTTACTCACAGACTCGCAGACACACACAAATACACAGCTCTCAGGCTCGCTGAAGCCTATTTGTTTGGAGCACATTTGCCAATGTTCAATTAAAAATCCCTCTGATAAAAGATTCAAATGGCTGCCATTGTGAGTAATGAGCTCCTGTATAAGTGAAGAGGCGTTTACTGCACAGCAGATGAAGACAGATGAGAAAGACCATCCCCTTAGGCTGGATCTAGCATTCGTGCCTCAGTGGCAATAATGCAAATGCATGCACAAGAGAGGTGCATGCACAGCCGTCTTTACCTCCATGTATCTCGTGTGCTACTGTATACGCAGCAGGAATTTCATTCTGTCATTAAGAGCAGGACATTGTTAGAAATCAATTTATTTACAGCTTAGTTTATGGTGACTGTGTAGTAGGGCTGTGCGATTATGGCAACAATCATAATCACGATTATTTTTGGTCAATAATTGATATCACGATTATTAAAAACGATTATCCATTTACTTTGAAAATATCCATATATTGAAAAAAGAAAATTGAACAGTATGTTTTTAACAGTTGATTACCCTGAACTTTAAGTATAATTAAACTGAAAAACCAATAAAAAAAATTAAAAAATACAATTTTTTTTTTTTTTTTTTTATAAAAATAATAATCGTTTTATTTCGATTACATTGTTTTCGTAATCGTTGCAAGCCAAAATCGTAATCGAGATTAAAATACGATTAATTGCACAGCCCTACTGTGTAGTGTGGTTTTAGTTCATAGCCAGATCCAGACTGATCAAGTAGTAACATCATCTGAAAATATTCGATGATTATTCAAGTGGCCAATCGACACAAAACAACACAGTTTTGATAATTGATTAATAATCATTTAGCAAGCAATGATACCAACATTTTGGGGGGTTTTAAGCTATAACATATGAGGATGTGCTGAGTTTGTATATAATTAAAAAGTGAATTTAAGAGAGTTTTAGGATGTTGGATGATTTTGGGCTTTGGAAACATCCATACACCTTTTTTTATTTCTTGAAATTCTATTGAATAAAGCCAAATAAATAATTCAACACATTTACCAATAATACAAAATAATCATTACATGCAGCCCTACACATTTCTGTCTGAAAAGATATGGTTAACATGATTAACATTGCCAATGTCGACATTAGCATTGTTACTGTGTCATGTTAGCATGCTCACGTTAGCATTTAGCTTGAAGCAACACATTCCTTAGTATAGTCCCACTCTTGTTAATATTGGATCTGTCTTTCACTAAATCACTGATGATACGTTTGACAGGACCATAATACACAATTATTCACAAAAAAAACAACATAAAACCAAAATAATAACAATATGTACCTGCACAAATTACTATTAGCTTTAAAGGGGACCTATCATGCAAAATGCACTTTTGTACGTCTTTTGTACATGAATATGTGTCCCCGGTGTTCCAGGGAACTCACCAAGTGTCAGAAAACACAACCCTCTCTATTTTCCTCCATACCCAAATCTCTAAAAAAGGGGCTGCAACGGATCTGATAAAAACTGATCCAGATTTGAACACGTTACTGACGTCAGGACGGTGGCGCTACGGCTATTGGGCCAACTCTCCACCTATCAGGGGAATGTGGGGTTGGGCCACAGCCGGCCATTGCCGCTCGAAAGCGCTGGAGACGCTGTAGTACATATGCCAGGCCTGTAAGTGGCGCTGTAGTCTGCCACAAAAGCAGCGAAGAAGACTTCCCGCCCATAGTTACCATGGTTACCC